GGAAAAAAAATATTATATTATTATTTATTATCTATGTTTATAGCCTAAAGCTTAACCTTATAGGCCGTAGTTATCCTATAGCTACGTGGGTGCAATTTACTCTAATCCTTATCGCGCTCCCTAACAGCCGGGTTTTACGATGTCAGGGTGGATATCTAAGATGGATAACTGGCATACAGTACAATGCGCAAAGCCCGACATTGCCGTCTTTCCTGGACTCGATGTTCCAACATGTATGAACTGCGGAGAAATTTGCCCATCTTATAGAGCGGAGAACAAACACAAGGATGAGCTTCAGATTCCATCAGCAGGCAGGCGGTCTGCAATGCAATTGAACTAGCCGCCATCTATGTCATATCAGAACTACGCTTACTCCGATGATCCTGACGGCTTGTTGCACAAGGCTCTATCTTCACTGGTCAACCAAGAATGGTACGGTAAGGAAACAGACAAGCGCGCGCCCTACTCTTCCATTCTTGAGGCAGCCCTAAATCCATGTTCGCAAGTAAGCAAGATGTGGCTTCCAGAAAAGGTCTTCGAGTTTCTATTTGCAGATAGTGAGACCATTACTCAAACAATGCAGTCTGAGGGTAGGAATTGGGAAAAGTTCGTTGACCATGGTCAGCCGTACAGTTGCGGCAGGCCTTTAGTCCAAGGTTGGAGACAGGAGATGGAGTCATGGAAGGTTGTAGAGCAGTATGTTTCGAAATCCGAGTGGCATATGAATTGCATCAAAATGTATCGCTTGCGTGGATCGAAAACAGAGGAGGACGTGTATAAGGAAATTGTTATTATTTAGATACCTGCTCAGGTAAATTGATTCCGAATCATTGAAGGTGAGAGACTGCGAGGCTCTGCAATTTGTTAGTATTCTGAGTCGTTGATTCTGAGTCGCGGTGTCTGAGTCGACCATGGAGACAGTCGTGAGATGGAAGTCGCATGCACCGTTATAAGCCCTAAATGAAACGTGGCTGGCACCTTATTTCATCCCGATAGCTAGAAAAGTCAAATAGGTATAAGCATGATCTGCCCAACATGCGATCTCCATTCATGCCCATGCCATCACCTTAACTCGTGCATCATTATAATTCCACAAATGAAGACCTTCCGCCCGGCAGCGGGGGTATTACCTTAACCTAATTAGCACTCGGGACAAGTCGTTCTGCTGCTGTCAACCGGGGCCTGGCCTGATCTCCATGGTTAAATTGTGTTCCTATTTCCAATTGGCCCGTACCCCGGAGTGGCCTCGACAACAGCCGGCCTTGTGGCTAATGAACCTGGTTTTGCGGGGCCTGATGCGACGCTGCGATGATCATGCCCCGTCTCGTCGACCAAAATGTCCCACTTAGAAGAACCACGATAGTGCCTAAACGTAAATTTCTCGAATGTTGATCTCTGAATTTACCCGGTGCTTGTGTATAAGATGCAAATTATTTAGCTCACAGCACTGAGGTCTCAGCTTTATTGGCTTGAATCTCTAGCTATGAAGGTCTCGCAGGTGTACCTATCGTTGCTGGGCCTGCTGCCGGCGGTAGCAGGTCTCGGTCAACAGTCTATTGTCGCCTTCAACAAGTCAGATGACGCTTTTCAACTCTTCGGTGGAGATGCTGGGTCTGGCCAGATTCGTGTCTCTAATGATGAGTACTGGGGCGTCATCCGCGCTGCTGGTGATCTCGCCGTCGACTTTGGCCGTGTTACTGGCATGAACTTCACTCTGAGCAACGGCAAGAAGAAAGCATCCCCAGCCAAGTATAAGTTCAAGCCTGTGGATGTCAAGAACAACACACATGTGAGTACTTCCTAACCTTCAGAGACGTCCACTAACAATGTAGTACCGTACCCTTGACGAGCAGTACTTCCCTGGACCAAACTACTCAGACCCCAACGCTGGCAACACCAAGATCATCGTTGGTACAATTGGCCACTCTGAGCTCATTGACAAGCTCATCAAAGACGGTTCACTCGATGTTAGCAAGATCAAAGGCAAATGGGAGTCCTTCGTCAGCCAGCTTGTCAAAGATCCCATCAAGGGCACTGCCGAAGCCCTGGTCATTGCCGGAAGTGACCCCAGAGGCACAATCTACGGCATTTACGACATAAGCGAGCAGATCGGCGTGAGTCCTTGGTACTGGTGGGCAGATGTTCCTATCCGTAAACGAGATGAGATCTTTGTGCTCGCCAAGCCCAAGGTTCAGAAGTCTCCTTCCGTCAAGTACCGAGGTATCTTCCTCAACGATGAGCAGCCCGGTCTTTCAAGCTGGGTTGGGTGAGTCATTTCACTTCAACGACGGAAATTGCCACTGACAGATATAGTTCGCGCTGGGACCCAACCTGGAACAACAAGGCTCCCTACAACCACGAGTTTTACGCCCTCGTCTCGGAACTGCTGCTCCGTCTCCGAGCCAACTACCTCTGGCCCACTGTCTGGGGCAGTATGGTCTACATCGATGATCCTCTCAACCAGCCACTTCTCGACGCTTACGAGATTGTTCTCGGTGGATCTCACACTGAGCCTATGATGCGAGCACAGAACGAGTTCCGAACGTTCTATGAGGGTGATTGGCAGTACAAGACCAACAACGAGACCATCGACGAGTACTTCCGCTATGGTGTTTCTCGAGCCAAACCGTATGCTAGAAACAGTCTTTGGACTATGGCCATGCGAGGAACTGGCGACACAGCTATCGAAGGCGATCTCGGCATTGACGGGATTGTTGAGATGCTGGAGACTCTTGTTGACAACCAGCGAGAGATCCTCAAGGAAGGTCTCAAGGTTAAGAACTTGACTGATGTACCGTCGTTGTGGTGTCTCTACAAGGAGGTTCAGTCTTACCAAGAGCGCGGCCTTGTGGTTCCCGAGGACATCACCCTTCTCTGGGCTGACGACAACTGGGGCAACATCCGCCGTCTACCTCTCGCCAACGAGACAGATCGCTCTGGTGGCGCTGGTGTGTACTATCACTTCGACTACGTCGGTGATCCAAGAAACTACAAATGGATCAACACCATTCAACTCGAAAAGACCACCGAGCAGATGACTCTGGCTTACCACCGAAACGCCCGTCGCATTTGGATCGTCAACGTAGGTGATCTAAAGCCAAAGGAGATTCCCATCAGCCACTTCATGGATCTCGCCTATGATGTCGAGAAGTGGGAGAAGGAGGGCACAACCAAGTGGGTTGAAGCCTGGGTTGAGCGCGAGTTTGGCAGCGAACACGTCGAGGCTATCACGGACATCATGACGCGCTATGGTATGTACGCTGCCCGCCGCAAGTTCGAGTTGCTCGAGCCTCAAGTTTACTCTGTGATCAACTATCACGAAGCCGAGGCCATTCTTGAGCAGTGGGCTACTTTGAAGGAGGATACACAGGCTGTTTACGACAAGCTTGATTCAGAGTATCAGCCCGCTTTCTTCGAGATGCTGCTCCACCCTGTTCTTGGTGGTGAGATCGTGAATAAGATCCAGATCTACGGCGCCAGGAACCAATTGTACGCGGGACAGAAGCGTAACTCTGCTAATGATGTTATCTGGAAGTCTGTGGATTTGATGTATAAGGATTCGAACCTGACGCAGCGATGGAATGAGTTGCTCGATGGCAAGTGGGCACATATGCTTGACCGTAAGTCCTTAACTCTGTCTGATGTGAACTTCGCTGACCTACGTAGAAACTCACCTCGGCTACGACGGATACTGGCAACAGCCCATGAGAAACACCCTTCCCGATCTCCGTTTCGTCCAGGACGTCTGGCCATCCCTCGGTGGCCAATACGGCGTTGGTGTCGAGGGCTCAAACGCCACTATCCAGGGCGACAGCCGCTGGCACTCTCTGTCCTCCAACAGCCTCGAACTTCCTCCCCTGGAACCCTACGGCGCCCAGTCCCGATATTTCGATGTCTTCCACCGTGGAAACAAGGGCTGCAACTGGCGCGCAGCACCATGGGAGGACTTTGTCCAGCTGTCGCAGTACAATGGTACAGTCGGTGGTGATAACGGTACTGATAGCCGTGTTTACATCACAGTTGATTGGGATAATGCTCCCCAGGCACCTAACACGACACAAGTCATGATCAACATCACGAGTGATTGCCGTGGCTTTGAGAAGTATGCGGGCGAAGAGCCAAAGCTGGTCGTGACCGTTATCAACAGAGAGGTTCCCGATAGCTTCAAAGAGGGATTTATTGAGTCTGATGGACATGTCTCCATCGAGGCATCGCACTATCAAAAGATTCAAGAAGGTGACTCGGATGACTCTTCGCTCGAGTATCATACCATCAAGAACTACGGCCGTACTCTCGCTGGCATGGGCTTGTACCCCCTCAACACCGAAAAGCTCAAGGTTGGCGAGGGCCCTGCTCTGGAGTACGACATGTATCTCTTCAGCAACAACTCAGCCGTCAACGTGACGGTCTTCATGTCCCCAGGTGCAAATTACCTCGGCGACAGCAACCCCCTTCAGTACGGCATCACCCTCTTTCCAGCGGATAAGGAGCAACCCAACCCAAAGATTGTCACGCCTATTGGTCCTAACAAGGGAACTAACATGCCCGATAGCTGGGGTTACGCCGTTGGTAACGCTGTTTGGGGCTTGTACGGAAACTACACTACTACGGCGTTCAATGTTGCCAAGGAGGGTGCTTATAAGTTGAGAATCTGGGCTCTTCTGCCAAATATTCTGATTCAGAAGATTGTGGTTGATCTTGGTGGTGTTAGACAATCTTATCTTGGGCCGCCTGAGAGTTTCTTGTTGGGGCGGGATGAGGTGGGCAAGTATAACGGTACCTCGTTTGTGAGCACGCCAGGTATCGTTGGAGGAACTTTTGATAAGGAGTAATAAGCTATAGAAACAAGAGGCTGTAGTAGTAAAGATAAGCTCAAATCTATTTCGACTGTACAATGATTTGTATGCGCGTTTGCCCATCAAGTTGAACGAAGCCAAGGATGATTGATGAGATCACTGGTTGAAGGTCGATCAACCGGATCGTACTGGAATATCCATCGTAACAGCTCCAATATCTCCTTGGCTTCCGCCTCGTCAATGTCACCTGGTCTCTCTGCCATAAACTGGTCCTCGAGCGAAAGAAATTCGCCAAGATATGCGAGTGGAGGACCATCGCTTTCCTCGTCTGTCCCATTGCCAGAATTCATATCTTCATCGCCGCTTACATAGTCGTTCTCTTGAGGCTTAACTTCTAGCCTCTTGCCACTTCTATCAAAATATTGATCTGCTCGACGCCACTTCTCAAGTAGTGATTTGGGTAATGGCCCGATAACCTCCCAGAGCTGAATGAGATGCTCATCATTAGAGGTCTCATCGTAGTCCTCTCCCTCAAGAGATTGGATTGCTACGAACAGAGGCCGGCCAGTGATTATCTCAAATACCAGACAGCCAAAGGCCCATGTGTCGATACCTTTACCCAGGTGTTCATCAAGAATCGTCTCTGGGGCTCGCAGGGCAACCGGAGTGATAGCCTTAGCACCCATTATATGATCTTCTGCAACGAATGCTGCAAAGATCAGTTCACATCCTTCCTATTTGACCTTTCCAGATTGGGTACTTACCACCGCCCAAATCACTGAGCTTCACAAGAGGATGGAGGCCATACGAGAAGTAGTCACTCAAAGGCCGAGGCTCAAGAAGATATGACGAGGCCCAAAGATCCTGTTTCCCATCTTTACGGTTGAGAGGCTGGGCATCACTTTCAGGCTGCTTCAGGTTCATCTCTGTACTCAGAGTGACCTCCAGTTTCTCTACACAAGTAAGGATGTTACCAGGATGTAGATCGCCGTGAATAACGCCGTGTTCGTGAAGGAAGTGCAGCGCCTGGATAGTATCCCGTAGCGCATCCTTTGCGAAGGACTTTGTGAACCTTCTCTCCCAAGGCTCGCCAATCTGAAACTCTGGCCTTATCTTGAGAAGAGTTGTCAAGTTTGGACCCATAGTCTCAAAAACAAGGCCATCATGTTCCCCATTGGGACCCTTGATCTTAATCGTGTCATGAAGAAGTACGAGAAATGGGGACTCGTCTTGGAGGTGAGATGTATAAATAGAAACCTCTTTGCTTGCATCGTATGTCTGAGTTGCAAGAATGATCTTCAAAGACACATAGCGGTTCATCCTAGTGAACAGTGTCAGTAAGTTATAATATTAATGCGATAACGACGTACTTCGTATCAACTACAAGACAGACTGTGGAGTATTGGCCCCATCCTACCTTACGAATAATACGGTAGCGTTCTTGTATCACATCACGAAGGTGAACGGGGTGATAGCCGCCTGGATGATAGGCTTCACCCCATTCACAAGCAGTGCCGTTCGTCGCGAATCGGAAGTCCTCGTCCTCCCAAGGGGGCTTGTTAGGCGGCGTAGGAGGGCGAGAGGACATATTGCGGCGATACAGGATATAGAAAGGTGCGTAAGGATTCTTACTAAGATTCAAGGATCCTAAATTGTAACTTTGTTGAGGCACATTGAAGCGGGGTTATCTACTGACCGGCCAATCGCTTGCGTATTCACTGGCCAATCGCTTCCGTACTTTGGATATGCAGGCTAATCGCGATGTCAGCACAGGTAATTAAGCCAACGACTTCTTTCACCGGGTATAGAAGACAGAACTTGTGACTGTGTTATTAAAATGGGCAATGTTGAAGAAAGTCAACGCAGCTTTAACAATTATAATGGCCCTCTTATTAGATCCCCGTAATCTATGTTAGATCTCCCTCAGAGGCTGAAACAAAAGAGGTTGTAGGAATTGCAATATAATGGAATGAGTTTGTTCAGCTACTTAATTACTCTCCGACTCTTCTATCTTTCCTCCCTCATCTCAGCCAAATACCTTTCCCCACAAAAGACCCAACAGGCCTGACGTTTTATAACTCTTATGCACGGCTCCCTTCCCCTCAATCTTTGCCCTGACATTGTCCCAAACCTGCTCCAAGTCCGGCCTATCACTAGCCCCTCCTATATTCATCGCACTCGGAACAATCGCCCACTTCTCCAACACTGCTCCTCCCTGTCCCGTCACATCCCCCCCTTTGCCCCCTCGTAGGACCAAAATCCCCGGCTGTGCCATCCCGTGCTCATAGCCCTTCCTCTCGGTCACCGCTATCTCTAGCTGATACCTTTCTTTCACTAATTCCACGAGTGTATTTCTAGTATCAACGATAGCGTCACCGAAATAACTGGTGAGCTTGCGCATTTCAGGGAGGAAAGAAGCCGGTTCAGCGGTGATGATGAGTGTTTTGCCGCCGAGTGAGGATATAGAAGGGGACAGTCCTTGGAGGGTCTGGAGATAGGCTCGGCAGAAGGGACACCAATGGCCGCGGTAAACTGGGAAGTCTTAGCTTTGGCGGGAAGGCAGAGTATAAGAGGATGATAGAGAAAAGATGACGCAGGTCTGCATGGAATGAGTAGAAGGCCAACTTACAAACGACAAAGAGAATCGAGGACTCTGAGAGTAAGGAATTACATTCGTCAATAGGTGTGTGAGTAGCCATTGTGAAATGCTTCGTTGTGTAGCTGTGGCTTGGACAAACAAGACGAAAAGGTTTCCAAGACTTATAAACCAGACCATCTCGAATTATATACTTGCTTATCAGACGAGCCCTTGGCTGTGATATTGATAGATTACAAATTCTGTTTGCGCCTAGACAACTCGGATCAAACGGCAAAAGGGTCGGTCAGAATCCGTCAGCATTGGTCAGCTCTGCTTATCCTTTGTCAGTAGACATGAGCTCCCACAATAGAAAACGGGGGATATGCAAGTTTGGGTAGTCCTGCGGGGTACTGTACGACTCTTTCCTTATCACATGTGGCTTTCTGGGCGCTTCGTGAAGATATCAAGTTGCCGCACTTCCGAAAGCAAATAAAGCAAACCCCATGGTATTAAATATTTAATGTATATAATGCATGCCTGCTCATATACTTATTCATGAGTCGTTCTATACTAACAGCCTGGAACGCACTTGCTCAGTCACAAAAGCTACCCAAGCTGGTACCAGTCATGATGCATAATTAGTACAAGGTGACAGCTCAGAATCACGCCCCAAAACCCGAAGTCATACTTCCTAATTTTTATCTAACTAACATCGCCCTTCCAATCACCAAAACCGCTTCAAAGAGAGCACCAACAAAGCATTCTCCCCTTCTCAACTGCTCTTGGGAGGACTTCCAAGAATGGCGATTATAACGAAACATTGCGACTTCTTGGTAATTGGAGGTGGCAGTGGAGGTCTTGCGTCCGCTCGAAGAGCGAGTGGACGTTATGGGGCAAAGGTTATTGTCGTGGAGGCAAAGCGATTAGGAGGAACTTGTGTCAATGTTGGGTAATTCTGCCACATCTCAAGAGACTACTCAAGTACTGACCGACGTAGATGCATTCCGAAGAAGATTACCTGGAATGCAGCCAACTTGGCACAAAGTATGCGCGACGCCAAATCATACGGCTTCTCTGTCGAGCAGAAGGCGCCTTTCGATTGGGCGAGCTTCAAAACGAAGCGAGATAGAGTCATTAAGAACCTGAACAATATACACGAGCGCAACCTCAAAAATGATGGCGTTGAATATATTCACGGCCGAGCTCGCCTTGTAGGCAAGAACGAGTCCATCATAGAGCTTAATGACGGCACCGAGATCGAAGTTAGCACAAAGAAAATCCTGCTTGCGACTGGTGGACATCCCACAGTTCCGAAAGGCATTCCTGGAGCCGAATATGGTATTAATAGCGATGGTTTCTTCGAGCTCGACCATCAGCCTAAGAAGATAGCACTGGTAGGAGCAGGGTATATTGCTGTGGAGTTTGCAGGTATGCTTAATGCTCTGGGAACAGAGACACATCTTTTCATTAGGCATGATAAGTTCCTCCGAAGCTTTGATGAGATGATACAAGATGGTATTCTTTCAGAGTATGAGTGTGTTGGCATACACATCCACAAGAAAAGTAAGATCGGGAGAGTCACAAAGACAGAGAAGCTTACTCTCCACTACTCTGACTCAACTGATCAGGGCAAGCTCGAGGACCTGGATACTCTCATTTGGGCCATCGGCCGAACACCAGAAGTGGAAGGTCTTGGCCTGGACGCTATAGGCATCAAGCAGAACGAGAGGGGTCAAATAATCACCGACGAGTACCAGAACACCAACGTAGAGAACATCTACTCTCTCGGCGATGTAGTCGGCAAGATCGAACTTACTCCAGTCGCAATCGCCGCCGGCCGAAAGCTTAGCGATCGCCTCTTCGGTGGTGAACAGTTTCGCACAAGGAAGCTGGACTACGACCACATTCCCTCCGTCGTCTTTGCCCATCCTGAGGTTGGCACTATTGGCTTGACGCAAGCAGAGGCCGAAACGAAATACGGGAGGGATAACATCAAGATCTATAGGTCCTCTTTCACGGCGAGTTACTATGCCATAATGGAGGACAAGGGGTCGTCCAAATATAAGCTCATTTGCCAGGGCAAGGACGAAAAGATCGTGGGACTGCATATTTTGGGCTTGGGGAGTGGAGAGATATTGCAAGGGTTTGGGGTCGCGATTAAGATGGGGGCTACGAAGAGGGATTTCGATAGCTGCGTTGCGATTCATCCGACAAGTGCAGAGGAACTAGTTACTCTTAATTAGATAGCTATCATAAGACATGAACATATGAAGACGTTGAATCGATCAAAAGCTTTGCGACAGAAAGGGATGTATCAAAATGATAGCTTTTCCTTCTGTAACTATTCAAGCCAATTGAGGAAGCACTAATGTGTAATTACCTATTGGATTCCATCAATCTGAACTCCCTTGATATTAGATCTCTTGTAAGAAGCTGTCACACGCATTACACCGCTAGAGACTTATGAGCTGATTCACACAATTTGGTTTGTTGGCATCATACGTGTCAGTGTGTGACCTTATTGAAGACCTGAATACGGAAGCGATTGGTGGGTTTTACGAGAGTGATTGGCTGGTTTATACGAGGATTGGCTTGTTCTATTCGGCTAAAGTAGTGCTAGCACTAGACTAATTACCTACACACTGGCTGGAGATAGAGTACATTGTAATATAAGTCCCGAAAACATACTTCTCACTCGTCATGCTTATATCCCAATCGCTCCTTGTTTAACTGACGTCGAGCCTTTCGCTGGTGGCTGCCAAGACTAGATCCCATGCATGCTGGCGCAACCATCGTCACTGTACAAAATATCAACGATCCATTGTTTATGGTTCTCAGTGTCGATAACCACGGTGTCAGATGGATAGACCATGCTGGGAAGCTCAATGTCGAAATTGTCCGTGATTTCGTAGTAGGACTGCCCATTGGTGACGGGACCAACTTGACCCTGGAGGGCAAAGAGAAGCCCGCCATCGAGGGGCTTTTGGACAAAGGCAATGTCTTTGGTGATGTCGACATGTGTGCCGGAGGCATAGAGAAGTAAAGAGTTGGCGTCGCTGTCGTAACAGGCGGTGATGGTGTTGGCAGGGATCAGCTGCGTGTTGCTGAGAGGTGTAGTTGCGGCTGCCATGGCTGAGAAGAATGGTAGGGCTGCAAGAACCTGGATGAAGGAATGAACGGGGCTGTTGAACTTGGCCATTGTTTATCGTGAGCTTTAGATGTATTGTGGTCTTGAGATGTTGTGATAAAGGGGATGAAAAGCGAGATCCATAGGAGGAATTACTGGGCTTTTTAAACCTGTAGTTTGTACAGACCGAATAAATTAAATCATCGATCCTTGGGAATAACCCGAGCCTTATTGTGAAAAGAAACATTTACTAAAATGTATAGTAAAGGTTAATAGTGCAAGTTAATAAATCTAGTGCTTATCTGTCGAACTTCAACCACGGAAAGCTCCTTGCCAAGGCTGAACATCAATAATAGCACTTCCATTTTAGCAATGGGATTAGCCGTTGAAGCGGCAATCCGGATCCTGAGTCAACAATTAGCTTTAACTCAGCCTCCCTAAGCCCGGCGCATGAGCGGCACGATCCGATACCGTAGAACCCAACGTACCTCGCCATTAGAGACAGATGCAGATCTACGCACCAGGTGCCAAGGACCGCCCAGTACCTGCAGTAGAGAGAAAACGTTATTCCATCTAAGTAAGACCCAAGACTACTATTCTAAGCATATGGTATGCATCTTAGGATGCCAATCTAGACAACGTATAGATCTTGACTACATGTTTCTAATCCCATTATAGATCCTCAACCTATCACATCTGGGCATCTGCAGAGCACTGTAATTCGCTTTATTTATTACGGCCATCGCTGATACTAATTTCTTGTAGTGTTCTAGACCTCGGCGGTGGGCAATTTGCGACGGCGTATCCCGAACCACCAATATCCATGTCTGAATACAGTGCCACAGAAGGATTACCCCGCCTCCACCATCACAGCTCTCATCAGCCACCTAAGCCCCACTACCTTCAGGCCATTGTCGTTTCTCGTCCTTTCCGCTCAAACCACCAGATTCGTAATCAGGCCACGGAACGCTTGACGCATCAACCGGCCTGACCTCCCGTCATAGCTCAAGTAGGAGCAGAGACGGCAAGGCTAGGCTAGTATTCGTCAGCGCTCTTGAACAACTGACTGTCGTTACCCCAATGGAAGGCGATGTACGCACCAAAAAGAAACGGCGCGCGAGCAGACCAAAAGCTCGTACAGGATGTACAGCTTGCAAGTAAGGCCTGCTACCATTTTTACACTAGGCCAATAGGGGACATCCAGGGCGCTAATCCCTATGCTAGGAGCCGGCGCGTCAAATGCGATGAGACAAAACCAAAATGTGATCGGTAAGCAATCGAGGAGTGACTTGTTTAAAGTGATAGGCTTTAAAGATTATTACTCACACTTATTATAGATGTGAAGAATACGGATCATTCTGCGAGTATCAACTGCCGCGACCACAAGATGCGGCAATCAAGGTTAAAGATCGTGACAGGGACCTCATTCCTATCCAACCTCGGCACCCGTCACAGCTCATATCTAGCCCTTCAGATCCTCTTTGCTGCGACGAGGTAGAAGCCCGGTATTTTCGAATCTTCCACGAGAAGCTGGCCTTCGATTTGAGTGGCTATTTTGAAGCTCCCTTTTGGACACGGCTGATACCGCAGCAATGCCATCACAATCCGGGGATAAAGCACGCAATTCTAGCTCTCAGCGCTCTCTACAAATCGGCACTATCATCCCGGTCTCATACGGTGAACTTGAACGATGAGCATTATAGTTTTGCTTTGGTGCAGCAGAGGCAAGCCATTAGATCGCTGCGCAACGATCTGTCTAGTGGACAACCTCAGATGAGGCTTGCGCTTGTAGCGAGCCTACTCTTTTCATGCTTTGAGAGCTTTCATGGGGACTGGGAGTCTGCGACGCAGCAGGTATATAACGGGTTCAATATCTTGAAGCGTCTCAGCGAAGATGAGAGACGACAAGCGACCAATAGCCTTACTGATATTGATCTCGACGTGGGACTAACTTTGCGACGCCTCGAGCTGCAAATATTGTCATTTTTCGCCATGACCCCAACGTCGGAGCATCCCAATGACCCGAGTCATGAAGAAATTGTATTGGATCTGCCAGATCAGTTTACTACCTTCAACGAAGCTTTCGCAGCAGTAACAAAACTCGCTGTTTCCATTCTTCGACATGCCAAGATATCCGCCATAGGCGAAACTGACCCAGGTCATCGGGAATTTCTTGCACGGCAAAAGCAGCAACTCCAGGGATTAATGTATCAATGGGGCAAGGCATACGAGTCTATGTTTCTCGAAGCTTACCAGAGCACCATTGGCAGAGAATATCTTGGAGTCCTCCAAGTCCGAATATGTGCCTGGAAATGCGAAATATTGATTGCTACAAGCATGTCAGACACAGAAGCCATCTATGATGATTTCACGGCTCAATTTCAGAGGATGACACATTTTGCGCGATATGTACTCCAGAAGGATCAAAAACTTCGAGACTCGGATGGTCCGAGATTGCAGTATGGCATGGGTCTGATAATGGCGCTTTTCTTTACAGCTACGAGATGCCGGAACTACTTCGTGCGCAGAGAGGCTATCGCTATACTCCGGGAGTGGCCTTGCACCAATGGGATCTGGCACAGTTTGCAAGCGGCAAAGGTTGCCGAGTGGATAATTAACATCGAGGAGGAGCGCTGTAGTGGATTGGAGTTCGTTCCGGTAGAGTGTCGGGTTAAGCTGCAGAGTTTGACAGTGGTCTTGAAGAAGGATGTCATTGCTGTTGAATGTATGCAGTGGTCTGCTGATGGTACCTTAGAACCCCGAAAAGCAAAACTCACTTGGCCTTGATAGTTTGCACATCGGAGGAAGGAGTATCTCCAATGAGACCAGCCTAGAGCCATATATCATCTATTCTGAGGGGAAATGATGAAGAGTCTTGATATGGCTAGCCTGGAATGAATGATACAGAAGCTCAGTCGAAGTTTAGGACGCATGGGACAATAGTATTGTCATGGCTAAATCCAAACTCCACGTGAAGTTGCCGGCAGGCTTCCGTTCATTTGTACCAACCAAAAGGCATGAAGTGAACCTCTCAACTCTAATTAGAACTTCGCACAGTTTTAGAAGATTAACAGAAAACTCTACTTGACAGTTTAAGTTTATCATGCATGATGACTGTACGGAACAGCCCCTCATTTCTAACTTTACCTACAAGTATAAAATCGCCATGTCCTCCGGACGCACATTTTATTACATTCACACATTCGCAGACCTTAAGTTTCCTCTGCTGATTTAATGTCTCAGCCACAAGTCTCAACGATGGCTCGTGCCAACCTGCCCCTCATCCTCACTACAACTAACTCCATCTTGCCCAAGATCTCCTACGAAATGGAGCGACCGCGTGTCATTTCTGGGTTTAAACGGGTCGCATGGCCCGAACTTCGTCGCTTGCCTCTAACAATGTCAATGAAAAACATGCCCATGGGTATCAAGCAAGTGCGTCAGGACATTGTACGCGAAGCCCTCTCAATCATGAAGAAGCATGGTCTGCAATTTGAAGATGAGGAACAACACTGTAGTCCTGAAATGGAAATGCGAGGTTTGCCTGAGGAATCTAGCACCATACCGACCATTCTCATATTAGCACCATGGTCAACTGAGAAGCAACGTGATTGGGAGACAGCTGCACAGGAAATGGCTATGTTTTTGGCTGATCTGTCAAGGGTCTGCTCATTCAGCGAAACCGACATTCATGTGGAAATAATGGCCCTCGAACTAGTGCAGAGAACCTACTACACCAATATCGACGACCCTGTCTTTCAAAGCGCTTGGGAATGCTTGGGCAGTACTATCTTCAACCGCTTACAGTCGCTCAGAGCAACTCAAGGCCACATAACGTGCCTCTCTCTCCAGAAGTACGGGACGAACTCTCTTCGCGAAGACAACCCACCTACAGTATATATATCGGTTAGCTATGACTCTGATGAGACCCAATGGTATGAAGTAGTCACAGAGGTCAAGGAAACTCTTGATGCGGCCGGATGGAGCGATGTTCAAGTTCATATCGAGCATAACGAGGGCATGATTGGTTATTTTGACAACTATACCAGCCCAACAATAGAGCAAAGGAATCGTGGCTACAGGCTGAAGAAACGCACTGAAGATCATTATTACTCAACCGTTCATATTGGAGACGACTTCGGCGCTGCACGTTATATCCAGCGGACCGATGGGGAGCAACTGTGTCCCTCAAATGGCACTATTGGCTGTTTCGTGCAGCTAAAGACTTCCGACCCTGCGCCGACTTGGCGGACCTTCATCCTTACATCTTATCAAGCGGTCCGACCTGCCTTTGATGGCTTCACCGTGACGCCAAATGGTACAGATTCTAGCGTTACACCTCCAATAGCCAACAGCGACCTCTGGACGGTCGACTCAGTTGGGTATACACCAAATTCGTCGGCCAAGCCTACAACCTTTGAAAGCCCCTCTCGATCGAAGCATGATTTTAATATTCGCTATATTGACGGAGATGTTACTTATTTTACGGAGTATATCCAATGGTTGGAGAAAAACGATGGGCCCAGAAAGGAAGAACAACTCCAAGATTTTAGGGGGAGAGTGGCGGTTTTGAGGGATGAAAGGAAACAGAAGACCGATTTCTTCGAGGCTAACAAGCAGGCCCTTGGAAGATTGTATGCCGCATCAGGATTCAAGCGTAGGGTTGTAGGCAGAAGAATGGACTGGGCGCTGATCGAGATCGACCGGCCATGGCATGATCGTCTTCCGGGACTTGAAGAATGGGAGTCTCTCCCCGCTAGAATCACGGATACGCCTTATATGACCTATGGGATGCAACTTGAAGAGCAAACACGGTCGATTGAGGCATTGAGTGCATTTGCTTGGTCAAGCAGAAGATTGGACGTTTACAAGATTGGAACAAGCGGGGGGCCGATGGTTGGATCCCTTCTTTGCACAAACAACCTTGTCACTATAAGAGACGACCAATATATGAATCCCTCGCCAACAGAGGAGATGGCTTTTGAACCGAAACGCTACATTTATGATAGTGAGCGTGGATTCTGTGCCCCTGGGGATTCAGGGTCCGTTGTGTTTGATGAAGATGGAGGTATTGTTGGTCTTATGATTGGGGGACACCATAATAACAACTCATACAACCACGGATATGGGTATGTAACTCCTATTGAGTACGTTTTCAAAGATATTAAGGACCTTTTGGAAGGACATGTTGTCGATATTCGGATAGCAGAGCTCTGAAGGATATCCTCTTTCTATTAGCCGCTTCTTATCAATGAAGATAGAATTTTAATCCTTGGATCGAAATTTAAATTGCTATACCGTACGTGGGCCGGGTCAATGCCACCGCTTTACATATTTTTAAATGAATGATACAGAAGTTCAGTCGAAAGTATATTGTACTATCAAGTCTGATGCATAAGTACCTGGTGTTCAGACTGTCATTTCCAGGAGTCCCATTTAGCCTACAGCTATTGACCGAAAGTAAGAACTATTGCATCAGCCAAAAGTACTCTTTGTCGGTACCGCTATGCGATAGAATGCTGGAAAGGTTCCAAGCACTCAAGGAGCTATGTAGTGCCGTAGGAACGCAAACGAGAAGCGAACTCAGTATACTTGAGCTTGAAACAAATATACGGTTGTATCGACGTGGCGTGCCGATATCTGAGTCAAATACGTCTCAGATCAGGTATTTGAGAAACACCACCCATGCAGTCGCAACCATAGCAACCAAGAGGCCAAATGTCAAGGCAGTGAACCAGGGCTTCGACCTTCTGCGAGTCAAAGGATTCGCATCGCGATCCTCGATCGTGACTTCTATTACCTCACGTTGGACTCTTGTCATGGTCATGCCCTTCCCTAGAAGTTTGTAGTCGACGATGATGTACGATACACCCAACACGAAGGCCCATGCTTTGATACCAATGGCAACAAGCAGAACCTTGTAGTAACCATTATCCTGGGTCCCATCTTGTAAAACTCCAAAGACAACATCCATCTAGTGTTGTTAGTTTGGGTAATCGATTGACTAGTCCCTGAACTTACAATAGTTGAGCCTGAATTATTAAATGCTCTCCATACACCAAAGGCAGTACCAATCTTAGCTTGATCGGCTACTAAAAGGGGTATGCAGATCTGCAATGGCATAGAGTTGATGACGCCGGCTAAACTGGAGAAGACCAGAGCTGCGGTGGGATGCACGTTTGCGAAGCCCAAGAGGGAACAAGCAATGATCCACAGGATAGGGGCTGTGGCAACATAGTGAAACCGATGGCCATACTTATCTATAGCCAGGCCAAGGACTGGGCTCAGAACAATCGGGAGGATTCTCTGTGCTGTTGAGAGATAACCAGCCACTTCCTCCGTGTAACCCTTCAAGAATATGATATCGGCCGAGCTAGTGCTGAAACCACCGGCTGCGCCGCTCTGTAGCAATTGGGTAGCCGGTAGCATAAGATACGCCCAGGGCAAAGTCAGCAAGAGTTTCCACGAGAAGTTGCGCTTGGTCATAAGATGTTTCTCAGTGATTGCTACCTCACGGCCCGGAGTCAGTCTGTACTTTGTCGGAACCGCAAACCTCTCGAAGCAGACGTATGAAATGTTCATGGCCAAAGAAAGTCCACAGAAGAAAACTGGGATCCAAAAAGTCCATCCGTACCAACCTGTGCGATCTCGGATTGGGATGGCGACCATACCAGAGACAAGGCTGACAGTGCCAGAAACGGCACTCTCCAGTCCAAACGCCAAGGCAAGCCCAGAAGCGCCAAACCAGTGGTAAAAGAACTTTAAAGCAGTTAGTAAGAAATCTTTATGCTAATTGAGTATGGGCAGAATACCTTTTGAGTTGCAGAATCTAAAACTGCAATGCCAAAACCCATGAGCACATGTCCAGAAACGAGCAGTCTCCAAAGTCCAATCTGAACGCCAACGGCCGCGACAACAGATCCGATGAGGATTACACTTGTGCAGCATAAGGTGACGATGTTGGGACCCCACCAGTCCAGGATCAGGCCCCCAACAATAGGGAAGATGGTGTTGACGAAAGCGTCTGCACTGCTGATGACACCAAATTGCGTATTGTTAATACCGAGTTCTTCTCGCAGAGTATTCTTGAGTGGGCCCAAGGCTGAGCCAGTCCAGGTATGTCCTAAGGGAAGGGTGATGACGAGGAAGAGTGCAGTCCATTTGTACTTGGCTGGAATCTGCAGATGGATCGGATCTTCATGTTCAACTTCTGAGATGTTGATGTCGGTCATCACTGGCCTTTCGCCATCCGCAGTATCGTGCTTCATCAGGTTATGCTTATGCTTAATTCTGTTGGAAATAATCTAATAGTCATAAAGCCATGGTAATAATTCACATGTCGGTCTCTTATATACTACACTCTAGCAGCCAAGACCTTCATGCCTCCGAGCTCGGCTGATCAGAAAACCCACCATGTGGATAGCACTGCGCTATTTAAGCTTATCAGATGGGACTTTAAGTGGAATAAGCTTATAACCATCGAGCTTGGCAGGCTAGCAAGTGTGTTTAGGCCCATCTTGTCGGTCCAAGAGATTGTTCGAAAAGATACTATTAACCGCATCTGGCAGGAGTCAAGAGACCCTTTCCACTAAAGAACCCACCTCTTGGCCTTTGTTTTGGGTTCGCCGAATGCCAAGAGAAGCGAACCGTGCCACAAGGGATTGATAAGAAGAGATTGATAAGTGGAGTACGGGATTGAGCGGAAAGACAGTATTCTGAGTGAAATGGAACCATGTGATCGTCACCGAGTGGTTCATTCGATGTCTAATACGTGCTGCTAATCGGACCGACATGGTCGGTGCTTTCTTATAGGTGATCACCGGGTTGTTAATGGCCTTAACCTGCCCTCTTGGCATGAATTAACACTGTCAGGCTACTTGCCATAGTGCCAATCTTGTCTCACTTATTCGAGTAGGTGCAAACTCTGCTATCTACCGCCTTCGGCATCTTTGTCCCCTTTTAGTCCTCTGTAGATCAGTCAAGTTCATCACACGCGCAGCTTTTGAAAAGAGACTTAGTGGAGTATTTATTACATATAATGGTAAATCTATAGATAGTCTCGAGATATTGGTATTTCATAAAAGTCCTATGTCCGGCGCTCCAGAAATTCAATCACTGCAGCACGAGTCCTGATTGCCTCAGGGATGACTGGATCCCAGTTGAAGCCATGCCACATTCCCTCGGAAACCAGCAGCTCTACGTTGACACCAGCTTCTCTTAACTTCCAATAGAGCCGTATCGCATGACTGAGTGCAAAGTCCCGCGTCCCGACAGTTATGATAGTCGGCGGGAAAGAGTCATCATAGTCAGCGTAAATAGGCGAGTAAAGCGGATCCGTCACATCAATTCCGTTGGGGGCATAGTTCTGCGATACCATACCAGTGAGAAGACTGACAGGCATGATATCGCGCCCCAAAGAGTTGAAGACCATTGAATCACCAGCTCCACTCAGGTCGAGGGCAGGCGTGCAGAGATACATCCCAGCTGTAGGCATGGGAAGACCTTTTTGTCTCGCGACAAGAAGCATCGAGACGAGTATCTGCGCTCCTGAAGAGCATCCCATGGCGTGGATATCGCAGGGGTCAACAGGAGCGCCGCCAGGAGGGCCGTTTTGCAGGAGCTCGCGGTATACAGCAAGACATTGATCCCGAGCTTCAGGATACTTGGCCTCAGGAGATTTGGTGTAGTCGACCGAGTAGACCCAGATACCAAGTTCAACCGCCATGGTCAGTGCAGCTCTATCTCGGGGGCTGCCCATGATGAACGCTCCTCCAAAAACATTGAACAGTATCTTGTTCTGTTTCTCAGGCTTGATGATTGGCGGTTCGATTATGACAACTGCGACACCGGCAATGAGAGTCTCGGTAATCTGAAGTTTATGCTTCTCAACTAAGAGGGCTTCGCCAGGAGCTGTCTTTTCTGTAAAGCCCTGTCGGAGACCTGGGACTCGACATGGTGATGTTATGAAGGATGAGATGGTATTGGCTAGTGGTGGATGGCGAATCTTGGAGAGAAATTCGACTGCTTCAGGACTTATAGTCGCCTTCTGACCTTCAGTTAAAGAAACCATAGCGATAATGAGAGATATCAACAAGATAAACACGCAAACGAGTTGGATTTACTGGTAGACTGAGGGCTGGTGATGTTGTTGCACTTGGCCTGCCCTTGGTGACTTTATATCCTGCCTCGCAATTCTATTATCCCAGGTCGTTACATGCTGACTCATGTACTGAGTCTTAACTCCGCAATTGTAACCTCCGCCTTGTTCCACATACGACAACATCATAGCTCACCTATTGTCAGCAATGGGTTTCTTATTGTTGGTAAGCCGAAAGCCGGCGCTAAAGTTCGTGGCTTGGAGCCATATTAGGGCTAGTTCGGATCATGTAGCCTCAAACGGACTAGCTACACTCGTAAGATGCAGCCATTTTGGGGTTAGCGGGCAATGTCTTTGACCTTGGCATCCTGTCAGCTTGTGAGCGAACAGCGGATCACGGATTTATGAGTAGGGCAGGAGGTTATAAAAGGTTGATATGGCAGTCATTCAACAGAGCACAAGATAAACTAAAACAACCATCTATCTTGTTATCAGCACGTCGCTTTGCTCTCATCATGTCCTCTTCTCAGCACGGCTATGTCAAAGACCTTCTCATTCAACCCAAAGCAACACGCATGGGTTATACCAGACTTGGCCGCTCTGGCTTGAAAACATCCAAAGTCATTCTAGGAGCAATGTCTTATGGAAGAAAAGATTGGCTTAAGTGGGTTCTCGAGGAAGACGAAGCTCTCCCCCTCCTCGAACACGCCTTCAAAGCCGGCATTAACACCTGGGATACGGTAAGTCAGCCCCTGATAACTAACAATATGACGTCTCGTACAAGCCCCTGACTTCAGTTCTTAGGCTGACCTTTACTCAAATGGCGCCTCCGAAGAAATCATCGCCAAAGCCCTAGCAGTGTACAACATTCCTCGAGAGCGCGTCGTGATCATGACCAAATGCCGGTTTGCAACCAGCGCCCCGGGCGAGCCTCAACTCTCTGTCTTCGCTGCATCCATCAACGATGGAGAGATGGTGAACAGAGCTGGACTGTCGCGCAAGCACATCTTCGATGCAGTGCAAGCTAGTGTCAAGAGGCTGGGCACATATATCGACGTCCTGCAGATCCAGCGTATGGATCCCGATGTTCCACCGGAGGAGATTATGAAAGCACTCAATGATGTGGCGGAACTTGGATTGGCACGGTATATCGGAGCAAGTTCTGTAAGTCAAACACGGCCATGTTCGTTTTATCCTTTGTGGCTGACAGAGAAGATAAAAGATGCCTGCTTGGGAGTTCCAAGCCCTGCAAAATGTGGCCGAGCGAAACGGTTGGCACAAGTTCATTTCCATGCAGAATTACTATAACCTTCTTTACCGAGAGGAGGAGCGAGAGATGATGCCATACTGCAAAGACACAGGAGTTGGATGCATTCCTGTAAGTCCAAGCCTTAGACACTTGCCATGCCGTCTTGCTCATATGGGTTCTAGTGGTCTCCCAACGCACGCGGTGTCCTCGCTCGTCCCTGGAACGGCCTTGACGAAAGCACTTCTTTGCGAACACAGCATGACCAAACACTAAGTCGACTCTACGATCGAGAAAACGAAGCAGACAAGGCAACTGTTGACATAGTTGAAGAGGTGGCTAAGGCGAGAGGGCTTCCCATGGCGGTAATTGCAATAGCATGGTGTCTACATAAGGGAGTCAATCCGATTATCGGCCTGAATAGCAAGGAGCGTATTGATGAAGCGGTATTGGCTGCTAACATCACGTTGACGAATGATGAAGTCGCAAAGCTTGAGTCAGTTTATCGGCCGAAGGCCATTACTGGGTATTAAAGGGTTATAAACGCTGCTATTACATAGGATATATAGATAGTCTAAGAGAACAGTGGTTGGATCATCGTTGCCTCCATTATTGCATCGAATTTATCCATCCATTTCTTAGTCCATTGATGATAGTGGCGAGGTAACACCGAGTGAGCAATAGGTAGCGCAAGTTTCATGGTTTGCGTGCCGCAGTATCCAGTGTGCAGACAGTAATCCACAGACATACAAATTGCGGCTGCGAGGCCCTGGGTGTCCGAGGCCTCTCCATCAGAGACATCCAAAAGAGCGACTGATCGATTGAGAATTATCAGATACGCACAATATGCAACAATGATAGTGGCTGACATGACATCGTGATATTTGTAATTTGAAGGGAACGGGTAGCCATCCGATACAGGAGAGATAGCCTGAGGCTCTCTCAAATTACTATCGCGAGTTGCATAATCTCGATACCATTGCCGCATGTCTTGCCGAAGCTGTTGTGCCGTTGAAAGTAGAGAATTGAGTGTCTCATCAGAGGCATCCCTGTTACAGAGACTCATCCTACTCTGTAGCCCTGGAATAAGTGCAAAGTAGCCGAAGATCCGATGGTACATGTCAGGTGACGCCGGCAACAGCGGAAACTCGATCAAGCCATCTGGGATATTCTGCCAACTTTCGGACTCCAGAATGCACGGCTGCCCGGAGGTCAAGGCTTCGGAGATCTGAGAACGTGTCAGTATTTACACCGTATAATGGAGAAGATAAACTGACAATTGCTCCGCGACATGCAAGAAACATCGAGTACTCGAACGAAGACTCGTAACACCGCTAAGCACCCCGAAGCTGCATTAGTCGAGCGGCTCCCCCAGCATGTCTAATCCACGCATAACCGACATTGACAAAGGTCTTCATGTTCTTCAGTCAGCACAAGAGTCAGAAGACCAGATGGAGTATTGTAGCATACCTCGAAATGTCCTAGAAGGACTGTCGCACACAGAACATTTGCGCTAAGCTGGTCTTTCGCATCATCAAGAGCCAAAGCCAGACTTCTCACTGCGCATAGGTATGAGGTCTCTGCATTTCGCAGTGCGATGGGATCTCCATATAGCTTTGCGAAGTATGACCAAGCTACTGACAACGCAGCATGGTCCAGAACTATGCTGCTGCCCAAGCGAGGTGGAATATGCCATAACCAGCTACCGAGAAATGAGATTTGCGCTGTGGCGGAGGCAAGAGGAAACATGGCTGACACGAAGGACGAGAGGATTTGGTCGCGCTCCGCCTTGAAGCTGCTTGGTTGGCCCAGCCTAATATCGGGGCTCGTTTCTCGGTGACGAAGCAGATCTCTATTATGTCGACTGAGGCCTTTAGATGCCTTTTCTGATGTTGGTTTGGTAGTAGGGGCATGAGATTTGCCTCTTGTGCGTCGGATTTTGGGCCCCTCGTCGACAAACTTCATCTCACGGACATAGCCGGGACAAGTCCGTCCGCCTCTTCGACACTGAGCACAGCTCGGCCTTTCTTCATCACACTGACGCTGCACTTAGTACTCGCTACGCAAAAGCACGACTGGGGTTTATTTGTACCTTGACGCTTCGCTGGATACACAGGCGACATCCTTTACTTGTCGGTACACCGACCATTGTGATTGTTGAGCGCTGTTGGTTCAAATCATGTCATCTTTTACATTGGCAATCATCAAGTCTGACATCTAACCTGGCGCGCTGCCTCGCTTATCTTATCAGCCCCGGGTGCCGATAGCGGCCAGTTACCCGGTACCTCTAAGTTCTATCTGCTAATTTAAGCCAATAATGCCTATAGTGAGATGAGGACGGGCGCTATAATAGAAACAGACGGTAGATAGAAAGATGGGTTATCAATTGCGGCTATATTTCATTTTCCTATAGTCAGCATCGTCTTGATCTAAAATCACTTTACAACGCCTACCGTAGTTAGAGTTCTGAAATAGGTGAGGAAATATCTTTCAACACGCTGGCCTGTGGCTGGATTCTACAAACACGAAAGACTAAACATCAGCGGCAGTTTTGGGTGGATTGATTGTTGTCAAAGAGATTTTTTGTCTCGCTCGAACGTACAATATAATACCCAGCCCGCACTTTGGCATCGTTGCCTAGGTAGCGGCTGATATCAGCTGTGATAACCTCCAAAGCAATACCGTCACCTGGTATGAAGTACTCGTTCACTTGGCTCCTAGCTGATCTAGAAGGAGGCTTAGAAGGAACTTGGGTGTTGGAATTGTTCAATGGGCCGACCTCCGGATACCATGGAAGAGCAGGCTGTACATTAGGCGCCCCTTCAATAACCCTTCCAATATGGTTAGCAGGTATCTTCAATGATACAAAGTAAGGCAACTTGATCCTTATCGGAGTTCCAATGACCCAGTAACACCCTGGAACATGCTGCAGCAGAAGCAGAAGCAAATTGCTGCCATTCCTTGTTTTTATGACTATCCGCATAGTCACAAACACCCTTAATAAGAATACAAGGGAATATATCCCAGACACCAGCACTCTCCATCTCGAACCCTATTGCATTTCGATTTTTAGTGAGCCGATCCCGAACTTCCCCGGTTTTTATAACAGAGTTTCCAGATGCGAATATCCCAAAATGAACATTTGGTGCAGGAAACGGCTGGCGGTTGACTGCTAAGCGAGGCCTTGATAGTTGCTCTCGGGTATTGCATCGAAGATCATAGCAGCTCAATACAGTGGCCGCAGCGCACACCGGGTCTGATTCTGAGCGACATGTAGCGCAAATGGCACATCTCGATTGCTCACGATGTTTGTGTCGATAATTTGCTGGGAAGAGGATGTCCTTTGAACTTCCTGGGTATTGTAGTGCTGTGTTTGAGCCTTGATGTAACTGGTAGAGGATGTAAAGTACGCGTTCGTCCGTGTTTTGCGTGACTTAAAGCACCTATAGGTTAATACCTTTACTTACTGAAGAACTTAGCTTAGAATTAATATTACCCTTAGTATAGCTACTTTTATTATTACTAAGGCTATTTCTATTTTAAACTACCTTTTTAAACTTACTAGTACTATTTACCTTATTTTTTTTAGTCTAATATTTCTTACTTTTCTCTAGATATATAAATTTAAAAAGTATAAGACTAGAACTACTATATAAAAGGTTAAGTATAGTTTCTATATACTTATTATAATATTTAGATTCTTTATAATAATTGCTAGTTTATAAGTACTAAACTTTACTATATATTACTGTTTTCTTTTACGGTCTGACTTATTTATTTAGTTATTTAGTTATTATTCTGATTAAGGAGGCATTTAATACAGGTACTATTGCCAAGGTTTTTAATTACGCCGATAACTCTGGTTTTGTTTAGTGCAAGTAAAAACGGCTACTTTGAAGTTGTTTTATCTACATTAGCGAGGATATGAACCAGTATTGTGTATTTATAAGTGCCATAATAACAAAGACATGTGACGTACGGACGATGGCTCCCACGAAATAATATTCCTATCAATCCTGCCAGAACTCGCGTCAAATTACTGGGTCTGCCTGTGGTCACCATCAATCTAGGGCAAACGGTGCTTACTTGAGAGAACGTTATCTAACGCGATACGACGAAAGTGACTCCTGTATAATGCTGCTGTGTAAGGGCAGACATAATCAACACTCGACGGACGCTATGGCTTTGAGGCACTGTAGGGAAACTCATTTAGTTTGTTTACAATCTGTTGAAGATTTATTTCTAATTAATTTCTACGGCAATCTTCCTAAGCCCGCAATTAACACATGGCTGTAAAGCAGTGCCCTTTTCCTTTTCTAATAGTAATGTGCTCTTGTAGTTAACGTCTCCTTTGCAGAGTGTTACCTTGTAAATACTATAAGCTTTAAACTTGTACAAGTAAAGTACGTCGAAGCTAGCTTTGTTGAGTACGTTGAGGAGGATCCTGTCGGAGGGAATAGTTATTATCTTGTGCCTGTTGGTCTTAGGCTCTTGAACCTTTACCTCGAATGGGTCGCCCAGGTTGTCACTACTACTACCGAAATATTCGAAGTGAACAATGTGTTCTGGGTATCCTAGCTTGGAAGTAATGCGCTGATATTCCTTTGTTATACCCCCAGGCCTATATGAGAAGATACGGGCAGGGAAGGTCTTGTCTTTAACCCTGGGCTGCGGTATGACCTCTGAGATGTTGAGTCTCTGACCTTCAGACTTGGCATATATTGTTGTATTGTTTCTTGGAAGTTTGTGGAGGAATGGGGCGTCGTTAGAGCTTGGTATAGCCTAGTAAAGATAGTATGGTTATTCTTTGGCTTTCTACTTATAGATTAAGGGAAGGAAAGTAGTAATTTTAATACCTTTAACGATAAGAATATGTTCTAGCTCCGGATTAGCCTTCTTATTATTTTCCTTTATACCTAAGTTATTTCCTAGTAATATCTAGATCTTATTACTAGTCTTTATCTATTTATAGATATAAGATAAACTATTATAGAAGTTATAATCTAAAGATATACCTAGACTAAATGTATTTAAATTACTATTAATAATTAAATATAAATATTTAAACTTATTTTCTGGCTTAAAAACAATCTATATAAACCTATAATAATTTAACTTAAGGTTTTATAGTTTTAAATTATCCTTTAACTTAAATATAAGCTTTCTAATACAGGAGGTAATAAGCTAGGCTTTAACTAGTATATATATCTTATTAAGGCTTAAATAAAATAGCCAATAAATTCACTATAAGTAGTAGGATATACTATAGTAATAGAAAAGAAGGAGGAGAAGGTATTAAGAGAGTAGAAAGTTATAACTACCGAATAGTAAGGCATAGAGTAAGATTTATAAGATAAAAGTAAGTCCGTTAAATAGAACGAATTTTTCCAAATTTAATAATATATATTATATAATCAAGAAGTTAATAAGTCTGTAACTAAAAAGGGAGTTCCCTAAGTAAGAAGTCCTGGGGTTTATATAGACATTCCAAAGAGCAGGCATTAAAATTCCTAAAGAGGGGTAAACCCAATGGTAACAAAATAACTATCATAAAAACCGCCAAAATTCAGAGAAAAATAAGATATACTTTTTACCCAATTTAGAAGGCGCTAGCCTTTAGTAGGCTTATAAAGCTTAAATAAGAAAGTAAGGTTTCTCATAGTATATCGTAAATCATCCAACTAAGGGGTAAAATCTTATATACGTAATCCTTATTATATAATCATCACGTAACCCAGTTCACGTAACTTTCTAACTAATATTCCCTTAGTAGGAAATATTTAAAGTTTTATAGGAAAAAACTTTAATATGTAGAACTTACTTAATTCTCCACATTTTACTTAGGTAAGCATACCAATCAAAAGCCCTGATTTTTCTCATTATTTTGGTATATATTTTGCCCTGATTAGTCATCTGGATTATAATATATTCCTTAGTTATATAATAAGACCTTTATATAAAATTAGGTCTTAACATATCTTTAGCAAGTTCTTTAACTTTTCTTATCTAATTTCTATCTATATTTCTAATATTAGTAGTTAAATATACTCTGCTAATAGCTAAAGGGAAACATTCCTTACGTTTAGTATCCTCTAGATATTAGGAACTAACCACTTAGGATATAGTCTTTTATCGGTCAACGTGGTTCATTTCATCGTTATAATCAGCAGCAACCATAGGGATAGGCATTACTTTGAAGGCATCACTACCAAAGATCCGCTCTATCTCCTGTGATTCCGACTTCGTAGCCTTCTTCGCTGGCGATTTCCTCTTTTCAAGTGTGCGGTCGTTATCTGCAACGGCGTACACAGTTGAAAGGAAGAGCTAAATGCCGCTATCTTTCCAGCCGATTTGAATGACCTAGAAGGGACAAATTAGTAAGTGAAATGCGTAGAAATCCGTCTACAGCCCGTACCTTCTTATCCTTTGTAGGGATAGCACGCACCTCGTTGTACTGAAGGGCAGGGCCTTTGCCTGCCTTTTTTCCCTCTTTGGCATCTTTCAGCTCCTTGCTGACGCCGTAGTTAGGGCGCGCTGTGCCTGTGGCTCCGCAGCCGGCTTCACGAAGGGCACGGAAGAGATTTGGCGAGGAGAAGAGGTTATCTGTGAAGACGTGATATGTCATCTTTGGCAGCATATTACATAGGTGAATAAAGACACTCTGTGTATTACTCAGGGCAACCGTAGTCTCCAGCTTTCCCTGCTTCCCCTTTGGCTCGTGCGGTGGGGGCAGCTTGACGATAACTGCTTTGTACGGTGTTGCTTTCACATGCCAAAGCCAACGCATAAAGGAGCCGTGTTGAGCAACGACCCAAATCTTGAACCCTGTAGGCGTAGGTTTATTCTTGACGACCGTTGTCTCTTTGGATCTGCCTTTAAATGGGACCATACACTCATCTATAGTGATATTAGTCCCAGGAAGAAAGAGCTCTGACGAGACTTGCTATATATATCAAGACCACGGCTCGGCCGCTTGGAATACCTTCGGAAGATCCATCTCATCGCTCACATCGAGCTGTGTGTGGTCGAAAGTGCGGATGAAGCGTGTAATAAGAAGGAACTTATTTAACGGCATAAATTTGGTGATAGGGTGCAAAGGGACTTGAGCCCCTAGTCTAGGGGCCTTTCAGTGACTTTTGACTGAAGATTCCCTATGAATTCATAAGTAAATCATCACACCGAGCCACAACATACGTTGTTGCGGTGAAGATGCCCTCCCATTTGAGTATCCTTGACCAGGGCTTTAGGGGTGTATTCCAGTTGTCAATAACGCCGTTTTCGATGAGATGAGTGACCCAGGCGTTAATGTATTTAATCCAGCTCTGGATAAGGGAAATAGGTACGAAAAGCTGGGATAATTGGAGTGGTGTTGGCGGTCGCATATTAATGTAAAAGTCACGATTTCCTACATTGAAAGGAGTGAAGCTATCGCCGGCCTCTTCGGGCAGAAAATCAGGTACCCCGGTGGGGTCATCAGCTGCACGCTGTAAGTGCGTGTGGAAGCTGCGGTCATCTATTTCACAGATATCTTGTGCTCCAGCTAGAGTAGCTTGGGAAGTCATAGTTTCAATCGGGACTCAATTTCATTAATTTAGGTGGTCTTTTGTAAAAAAAAAAGCGTCGCAAGGGGAACCCTTTGTACCCCGCCTGTACGAGAGTGACTACCTAAGGGACGTGGGGCTCGTGACCTCGTGAAGGCTTGTGGCACTCAAAGAGATAATTCCCAAGATTCTTCCATATGTTCTGATAGAGTTAAGGCGAGGCGCGCAGCTTTCTTCAGATATTGGTCAGTTTCAACACTACGTAGCGCTTCTCTTTTTGACCAGTTAAGAAAAGACATCGTCTTGATTATAGCAAGGTAATAGTTAAATACTAAGTTTCCACTCTTACAGAATTCCAGTGAGATTGGTATAGAAAACAAGCTGGAAAGCTTATCTTGGTAATTATGTGAGGATTTAGTATGTTGCTGGAAACATGTTTTAATAAGTGTTATTTACAGTTGAATGTGACCAAGAGCTGCCGCATACCGCGCGCTTTACCTCTAGTGAGTAAATTCCCCATCACTGAGAGGTTCAACCAAGAGAGACACAGTTTGCAGAAGTGATGTGCTTTGCCGAAAAGACTAGAGTTTCCATCACGTGCCAAGTCGGGATTGCTTTCGGGGTAAGTCAGGCTAGAAACACAGTGGCTAGCAGAAAGTAACACAGATTAAATGACTGGTCGGTATTTTAGAGGCGATCAATATCAGAGATAAGGCGCAACGATGCAACGGGACACGGCGGCACAGATAGGAGTAATCCCGGCGCATCTAGTACTACGAACTGCACGAGTGCTTTGGGACCCTTGATCTTGGGTTCTAAACGCGGGGTTGATGTGGGGTGCTATCTAGCTTCCGACCTTGCCCCGAAAACCTTCTCTACGTACACAAAAATGGACTAGACATGGATAATGGCGGATGACACACGGATAGCAGATAAGGGATATTCAGATAGTGCCAACGGCGAGAAAGGCAGGCAGGAGCTTAATTCTTATTGTCTCCTCGATCTGTTGCTTCCGAGCTACGGCTACGCGATATATAACCAGCGACAGATTCAAACTTATTAGACGGAAGAACAAGCTACTCATACCATTGGCTAGGCCAAAATCTTTTGTATAAGATCCCTCACCCTTACACAGTCACAATGGCTGAAGTCAATTGGCAACAACTCATCAACCAGAAGAGAGCAACAAGAGAGGCCCTCATTCCTGAACAATGGCTCTTACCAGCTACCATCACGAGCAAAGTGACCCCACAGAGCACGGCCAGCGCATTTGAGCTGCTCAGTGAAGCTGGGCTTCTCACTGAGCGGGAGATAGACATAACAGAGAAGTATACTGCTGTCAGTCTAACAGCCAAGATCGCCACGGGTGAGCTTTCGTCATACGATGTTGCCACGGCGTTCTGTAAGCGAGCAGCAATCGTACATCAATTGGTATGAAACCCGATACAGAGCAAGACCGGTTCAAGCTGACTTTACGTGTCTGTCAGACAAACTCTCTCACGGAGATCTTCTTTGACAAGGCGCTTGAGCGTGCGCGATGGCTTGATGAATACTTGTCAAAGGAAGGAAAAACAGTTGGACCCTTGCACGGTCTGCCTATAACTTTGAAGGTGCGTATGGAGGAACCAGCTGCTAAGTACCTCAGCTAATCTTTGAACAGGACATGATTCATGTCAAGGGACAGTATTCTACGATGGGTTTCGTCGGTCATCTCAGACATCCGCCTGCAGATGAGAATGCCGTGATTGCTGATATGCTCGAGGCTGCAGGCGCAGTATTTTACTGTAAGACCAATGTGCCCCAGACACTCTTTGTAAGTAGTACCCGCATTCCCTATCACAAAGTCTAACTGGGCATCCGGTAGGTCTGCGAGAGTTTCAACAATGTGTTTGGACGTACCTTGAACCCTTATAAGCTGTGCCTCTCGCCCGGTGGCAGCAGTTCGGGCGAAGCAGCACAGCTAGGTCTCTGCGGATCCATCATGGGTGTTGGATCAGATATCGCTGGCTCAGTACGAGTTCCTGCGATGTTCACGGGAGTATACGGGTTCCGACCTACAGTCAACCGTCTGCCGTGGTCAAAGCAGGCAGAACTCGCGTTGAAGGGATGGCAGGGCGTCCAACCGACCCTTGGTCCGATGGCGCGCACAGCACAGGATCTTACCCTCTTCATGAAGACTATCATTCAAGCTGAGCCTTGGCGCTACGATTCCACAGCACTCGCTATACCGTGGCACGATGCACCTAGGAAGGACAAGCTGACTATTGGTGTATGGTCGCAAGATCCTCATTTTCCCGTCTTTCCGCCTATTGCGAGGACCATGGCCTCAGCAGTTGGTCGGCTCAGAGCTGCAGGCCATACAATCAAGATCATCGAGGCTCCGCCGACGATGAAGGCAATGAAAATCGCCATGCGTTGGTTCGCACTCGACCAAGTGAACCTACCGTTGAAGTTTGTCCAAGATGGCGCCGAGAGCCCGATAGCAGACTTGGATGCCATGGACCCAGGGAAATTCTTAGACCCGGGATATGTCGCGGACCTGGGTGAGAATATCAAAATCAGCGCCGATATCCATGATTATCGAGAAGAATGGGCCAAAATCTGGCGCGAGGCGGGCATTGACGTTTTGCTTTGCCCGGCCAGTCGTGGTTCGGCTGTTCCACACGGAGAGTTTGGTCCACTGATGTACACGATACCGTGGAATTTACTCGATGTGAGTTTCCCCTTTCTTTGACATTGTTAAAGTGAACAGCTACTTACTAGCCACCAGTTTCCCAGCAGTGTCGTCCCGTTCGGTAAGGCCGACAAGACGCTTGACTCTAAAGACGGATGTGAGTTGATGACCCCGACTAGAATCACCAGTATTACCTGCGTACTAATAATTTCTCTAGATGATGCGACTGTCGTTGATGGCGCACCAACGGGCTTCCAACTGGTTGGATGGCGGTTCCAGGATGAGCAGACGCTAATGGCTACTGAGGTTATCGCAGACACATTGAAGGCCTGATTTCGATTGCAGCGAAGCTTGACCTTCACCAAGCCAGTCTTGAATGATAGACAAGAGTATATTTGCACACCATGTTCTCTCCGTAATCATTTGTGATACCTGTTCAATTAGGGAGAAAGAACTGTTTACAGCCTGGAAATGGACCAACAAAAAACAAAGCAACCCCGCAACTCCATGCTCCCCATTTGCCCAAACATATTGATCTGTTCTACATTGCCCAAAATGAATTTTCCCAATCTGTATTCCTGGCAGTAGCTGCTTCAACTGATGATCTATCCAAGCCCTCAAACAGCGCTGGGTCGTAGATTTGCGATGAATAGGCCTGAAACATCTCCATATCCCCCATACCAAGATGCATCATTGTTTCCAGTTGTTTTGCAGCCAAAGAAGACGGCGGCTGATGAGCCGATGAGTCACCAGACTCTGCATTTTGAACCGTGACAATTGCATCTGCATGTCTTGTCAGGCCTTTGGTGCGTGGGAAGTGACTAAGTGGGTGAGTTCACGTACCTTGGGCTGTACACACTTCCAACATGTTGTTGATATACCTGGAACAGCTATATACCAGACTGTTGTCGTGATCCAATAACTGGAAAATGGTCTCGACTTGTCCTAGGAGTGATTTACACATTGCCAAAGCCGTCTCATCTGCTGCAGCACCCTGTCCATGCTGCGCCCAGAGTATCCGGCCAAGAACGACCAACGAGGCTGTGAAGACTGCTGATGGCGTTAGTGACTAAAAGGTTCTCGTAAGGTAATGCCGTACTGACCGTAGTGGAGTGTAAAATAGGCAACTCCGAGGTTGTTGCTCCCTGATGGGTCGGCCTTTAATATGGTATGTACGAGCTCGATAGTATGTTGTGCCGAGCGTAAGGATTGGTGAGCCTCTCCCATCGCAAGCTGGATAATATAGGAGGAGTTTTCATTAGACACAGAGTTGCCACCGAGAAAAAGGTGTCGAATGGTGCTGCAGAGAAGTGGCCTGTGAATCAGCATATTGATATTGTGGTACCTCAGTGTCAGAATCACCCTAAGACGATTTACGGAGCTATTTTCAGACAGTACTTTTGCTTTGGGCTCGCATAGTCGCAGGTACGGGGGCAGACTTGCAGACCATGCACGGAGTTCCTTTCTCAGCTGGCCTGAAGCCTGTAGAGACATCATATCATCCGGCTCTGGCTCGGCAGTATGGACATTGCCGCCGTATTGCTGTCTCAGAGAGCCGTTCATGATTTGATGCAGTCGGAATGAAACCGCGAGGAAATCGCCAGGAATGTCAACGCCCGTGCCAGCGCTATCTGGAGTTGGCATAGCAAGCTCAGAGGATGGTGATGGCTGGTCCAGCATGTACTCATCCGGAATGATAGCTGGCCGTCCAAAAGCAACACTTAGAACCTTGTCCATGCAGTATATCACAACCCATGTTCGTCGACTATACTCGGCCTGCAATTCATCAATGCCTTCGCGGGCCTGGGCACTGTGAAGACCTAACGCCATGGCTGAGCGAACGGCAAGTCCGAGAATATTCCACGCTTGCACTGAGCGCTGAGCACCCTGGCAATGAATGACGACTAGGACGAGATACTGGACGATCTCGATGCTGATGACTTGCTTTGATAATTCACTACAAAGAGCTGTGGCTCTGTTGAAGAAGATATTAGACCTCTCTTGCCGTTCCCGCGCTGATGGTATTGCATCCTGGTCTGCACTGGCTATCGTGGCAAAGATGACATTGAGGGTGCCTAAGAAGGTCCTGCGGACTCTGGTCCAATTACTTGCTTTGCAGGTTGTATATGTCTTTCTCATCGATTCTTCATGGATGAAAGGAAAGACTGTGCCGGCGGTTTTGAAGTAAACATCAAGCATGCGATCCATCTCTTGAGCTGGAGGAAGAGTAGTCATTGCTTTTGGACCTGTGTCTGGTGATGCCGCAACTGGGTTCGTGTAAGACCGAGAGGCTTTTGCAAGGTTGGTTTCGCTGAGTTCATGTTGTTGGCCCACTGTCGCTCCCTGTCGCCGGGCAGGATTACGAATGTGATTGACAGCTTTGAGAAGAAGTCGGGTGAAGTTGATGTTCGAGGAGCCACCAAAGAATGCCGAGGTGTGCTCTTCCACAAAGGTCATAGCCATTCCATTCGTGGTAGCATCTTCATCCTGAGGCTCTTCAAGGCCCGTTGCATGCGGGTGGCTACCATCGTTGGTCTCTTCTTCAAGAGCTGATGATAACGGTGCAGGTGGTGAGGGAATGCGGGGAAGACGAGATTGAGCAGCAGCAGCAGCAGTAACAGTAGCGTTGCCAGTAGCAGTAGCACAGGCAGACAGATGGCCTTCGAAGAAATAATTGAGTCGGTGGACTACCTGCTCGACATTGTAGACACGTGATTCTAGATCTGATATATACTGCTTACGAACGATCACGTTGGCAGCCGAGTCGCCAGGCTCGTACTGGCAGTCCAGCGTAAGAGAAACACATGATGAGCACGACGGACGCGTGCCATCACATCTAGCACGTCAGCGAGGGCACTGGTTGACTACAGAGGGAGGCAATGGCAAATGAGAGCTGCCCCATACCTGGATTTGCGCAGACGACAAGCATTGCATGCAAGAGCGATGCGGCGTCGTTTGGCAGTAGAGGTGTCTGAGCCGTTCTCGACTGATGGTGGTGCCATACTGTCTGTCTGTCAGGCCTTCTTCTCTCATGGGGTCCGGATGGCGGGGAGAGGATGGGAAATGGAGAATGGGAACAGCGGCAATTTTCGGTTGGGGGGGGTCCAAGAATTAGAACAAAATGTGGGGAGAGGCGTCGGCTTGTCTTGTCTCAATGGAGGGTATGCTTGCAGCCCACCGGCAACTCCGGAACTGCTTGGAGATAGTGATAATACTTGCGATCCAATCATGACCCTGCGATAAGACGCCAGGAAGCCCAGTCCGGAAGACCATCCTCGCACGCCCCGGGGGTCATAGTTACCCGATATAGCCCCGTCGTCGACAAGGCCCAGGTTATTCTATGCTTCACTGATTGATTGATCCTTCAACAGTTGGTATAAGGATCAATCTTGAGCATCGGACCTCTCAATAGAATGCGCCCTCACAGATAACAGCATATCAACAACATGACAATCCAGTCCAACGAATTCAATGTCGCCATTGTCGGTACGTAGGGACCAATCTTCCAGTACACTTGTCACCTCTAACCTTGTGCCTAATAGGCGCCGGCGTCGCTGGCCTTGCGCTTGCAATGGCACTGCACAGAAAGGGAGTGCCCTTTACCATCTACGAGGAAGCAAAGGAATACTCCGTTGTAGGGTGAGTTGCCCTGGGGATTATTCCGTAATTGTACATACATCCCGGGAGAGCTCCGCTGACAGCAACGTCACAGTGCCGGTATCGGATTCGGTCCAAATGGTATGCAAGCCTTGGATCTGATGGAGCCAGGCTTCCGCCCTCTCTACGAAGGCTTGTGTGTTGGAAATAAGTCTGCCGATGCCGAATGGGTCTTCTTCGAGGGATACCTACTCGAGCCTGGTCTCGGTGACAACAAGCCTTGGGCTGGCAACCTCAAGTCGGCATGGGGCCATCAGGACTACGTTCGCAAGTCTGTAGGGTTCACCTTGATCCTAATCGAGATGCCATCATGGTTTGCTAACTATCGCACAGGCCCACCGGAAGGAATTGCTAGACATAATGACAAGCTTCATTCCCATCGATAGCGTCAAGTTCAACAAGAAGCTCGTCTCCATTAAAGAGTACACAGATAGAGTCATGTTGGAGTTTGCGGACGGTGAGATTGCTACACACAGCATCCTGGCTGGCTCCGATGGTATTGCAAGTATTGTGCGAGAGTATCTCCTCAGGCCAACCCATCCCGAGGAAGCACTTCCGGTGTACTCTGGTGCTCACTGCTACCGAGCCGTCATCCCGATGGACGAGGCATATGAGATTATGGGCGAAAAGACCGATGTCGCAAAGATCTACTTTGGTCATAACAGAGGAGCGGTCTCGTACAGAATCACTGGAGGCAAAGTAAGTCATGCTTCGTAATAACTGCACCAGAGTACATGCTGATTAGATCATCTCTGCGCAGGAGCTCAACTTCCTTCTCATCAAGGCTACACCAAACGAACCATGGCCTTATCCAGGTAGGGTCACCAAGCAAATCACACAGGAGGAGATGCTAGCCGACTTTGATGGCGACAACATTGATGATCGATTCCGAAGACTCGTAGCCAAGGCAAAGCCAGTCAAATGGGGTCTATTCCATCACGCCAAGACTTCAACCTATTACAAAGACAGGGTCTGTATCCTTGGAGACAGCGCCCACGCCTCGATGCCATTCCAAGCAGCTGGTGCAGCTCAGGGTGTCGAAGATGCGCTCGTGCTAGCCTACATCCTCGAAGAGCTTATGAAGAGCCCTACTCGAGGTTCAGAGCAACTTAAGGAGATCAATGCCGGTCTTGCGGCATATGATGCTGTCAGGAGACCTCGGGCGCAAAAACAGCTTGATCGTGCGTTTGAGGTCGGCAAGATGATTTATTTCCAGCATCCAGAGTGTGGAGACGACATGACCAAGATTCTGCACAAGTTGCAGAATGGTTGGCTGGACTGGCTATGGTTCCCCGACTTGAAGGCCGATGTTGAGACAGCTTTGTCACAAATGCGGAACGACGTGCAGAAGAAAGCATAATTGTGGAGAGATAGCAATTGATATTGTTTATTTATTATTTATATTATATAGTTCAGCATCAGTATTCGATTTTTGTCCTTGAATCAGAACGTGACGCGGGGTGCTACAGCAATAGGTGTATGCCGATTGGGACTCTCCTATACCGTCTCACTCTGAGTGATTCAGGCCAAGTTCATCATGGGTCTCATTGTGAATGTTATCGAGTTCTAATTGGTGGCGAGGCCCTCCTCTCTCTAGATCAAGTTGGACATTGTTCTACGACCAAAATCACTTCTACGCGCAAGATGAAAGCACCCTACATCAGAAAGTTCATATGTCATCGACGTAAGTACGGTAGTTCTTCTAGTACCAAGACTAATGCTCCTTACGCCAAAGTACATGTTTACCCTTCTTCCGCTCTTCTCCGCATCGTCTTATAATACTTGTAGCTCGTTCTGTGTCAACCGGACGGAGCAAAGACCCCGAAACACAACGCTTATCATGGCCATCAAAAGTAGGATCCGAATTCTGCATATATGATTCCATAAGGATTAGTACGGATGCACATGGAGTGAGAACTAAGTAGCCTTAGTTAATGTACAAGCAGCGCAGCATGGTAGAATAGGCTGGAGCATCCTCTTGGGAATGCAATGTTATCGAGTTATCTTGGAGAGACCCGGTTCTTATCATTAACCCAATAGTTCTTATTAGCCCTGTCTTTTCCGGCCGGCCTACCCGCACGATCCGCGGTTGCTGACCTTAGTGGTAGCTTTGGGTGCCTATGGGTCTATCTTTGTTCTGCTTATCATCTTGACAGCCATTCTTGGCACAACAGGGCTCGCTTACTATGCTCAGATGGATGCCAGACTGTGACGGGGAAAGCCAGGAATGGCAGGAAGGGGATTCAAGATGGGCTTATTTTATCGCAAATCTCGGGATCACTGCCGGACCCAAATTATTGACGCTAGCCTCGAAACTTGATGGAACTACCCCAGAGTGAACGGTAGCTTTATCATACGTACCAAATTGCCGGGCCCGGTCTAGATGCCTCGTGTGTATATAAAAAGTCATTCACGTCGTGATTGATCTGTCTACTTGTTGCTCTCCCTTCTTCAAGCTGCCGTCCACCTCACCCTTTCTTCACTGCTTTTAACCATCTCACCTCAACAATAACGATCGAGACAATGTCGTCTGAGGAAAAGTCCCAGTCTTCTGACAACAAGGACAATGGCTCTATCAAGGTCGGAATTTCATCCGGTGAAGTCGACCTAGAGTCCCGTGAAGTCTTCCGGACTGGCGATGACGTCCTCGACTTCAGGACCGTCAGTTGGCAGCGGGCGACCATTATGTTCTGCAAGATCAACTTTGCCATGAGCATTCTTGCTATTCCTCAGGCAATTTCAACAGTCGGTGCTGTCGGCGGGTCTCTCATTCTTGTTGGATTCACATCTCTCAATGTCTGTAAGTAGGAGTCATATATTTTCATAGTTACTTTCTTCAATTATGCTGACCAGCCTCTAGACACTGGTCTTATCCTAGGTGATTTCCGCAACAGACATCCGGAATGCCATAGTACGTTATTCGACACTCGCTGTAGCCTAACGGAAGAGGCCCCTGACTAACATCTGCGTTCTAGTGCTAGCTGATATGATGGGCTTCATTTGGGGCAGGGTTGGCCGTGAACTAGTCGGTGTTCAAATCATCGTCCTTCAGATCCTCATCACCGCAGGCGGCGTCGCCACAACAGCCGTCGGCCTTAACGCGTTATCAAATCACTCCCAATGTACCGTCATCTTTGGCCTGGTGAGCGCGATTCTCGTCACGGCCTGCTCATCTGTGCGTACCTTCTCCAAGCTCGGCTGGATCACTTGGTTTGGCATGATTACCTTTACCATTGGAGTTCTCGTCTTTACTATTGCTGTTACCCAGCAGGATCGGCCTGCAGCAGCACCACCAACTGGTGACTTTGACCTCGGTTGGATCGCTATCGCCAACCCTGGCTTTGTTGTAGGTATGGTCAGCTCTGCGAACCTCTTTATTTGCACCGCCGGCTCCTCTATGTTCCTTCCTGTTATCTCTGAGATGCGTCGACCTCAGGACTACCGTAAAGCTTGTCTTTGGGCTGGCCTCATTGTCGGCATGCTCTATCTTGTTCTGAGCCTTGTTATTTACCGCTACTGTGGAACTTGGCTGTCTGTTCCTGCTTTTGCCAGCGCTGGGCCTCTCTTCAAAAAGATCTCGTACGGAATTTCACTACCTGGTCTAATCATCGGTCTTGGTATATATCAACATGTTGCGGTAAAATACGCCTTTGTCCGTCTTCTCAGAGACTCAGATCATCTCCAGAAGAATACTTTCACCCATTGGGGCACATGGCTTGGCATCAATTTTGCCTTTGGTACAGCTGCCTTTATTGTTGCTGAGGCCGTACCTATTTTGAATTATTTACTCGGCCTAGCTGGTGCTCTCTGTGCTGCCCCTTTCAGTCTGATCTTTCCATGCCTTCTCTGGATGTATGACTTTAAGGGGTACAGATCTGGCACTCTCATGCAGAGGGCTCAGTACACTATACATGTCCTTATCGCCTTGATCGGTCTTTACATGGTCGCTGGAACTGCGTAAGTCCCATTTTGTTTTCCTCTTGATCGTAACACGGCGAACTAACAATGTGTCCCAGCTATGCGGTAGTCGTTGCCATCAAAATGGCTTTCCAGAGTGGAACGATTGCACGAGTATTTGACTGCGCTGACAATTCCGGTTCTGTCTGAGTAGTCGAATCTACCTTTACGCGGCGAAAAAGCAAGTGTTTGTCCAAGTTTATTCGAGATTGTACTTTGAAAATTTGGTAAAGTGAAGGAAGCAAAGACTAGTGGTTGGATTTATGACGAGCCATTTGGACGTCAACGGCAATGACAATACTTAGTAATGCGAATTCTTAAACATACATACCACTGAGGATAATAGACTGCGCAATACTTTCTTTCGCACTTGTGTTTGTATTTTCTCGATTACCGCTTTGAGGCCCGTCCCAACATCCACATCAGTTTCATGTTGTCAGCGTCAAAGTGAGGTTCACATTCTCAAGTGTTAAAATTGGCTGGATGACATCATCGATTTTAAATTTGAATGCGACTCCTAATCTATCTATTCACTTTCACAATCCCGACTTGAAAACATCATCAAAATTACGTAATTCCCTACTGCCAAAGTCCTCGTAATACGCCTTGGCTCGGGACGATCAGCGATGAGCAGCTTCAAAATGACCGCTTGGGTTCGTAGGTTTTCCTGAAACTTGAATTACCCCAGACCATTTCGAAATCTGGGGTCATCGGCTACTTCGTACCCGAAGATAGCCAGAGTTCCCGACGGTGGCATTTCTTTATCTATCCTAGGGACGGATCAAGATAAATAAACCGAGAATGTAGATAACGGCTTGCTGAGCCAATAGGCCTTCAAGACAATAACGTTGTATCGCTTACAGTAGCTGAATGTGGAGAGATAGCGCAATTGAATAAACCTAAACAGCTCTATCCTTCTCTGAGCTTAGTGCTCGTCGGCAGTCGGACCCTGAAATGATTGCCTATCCGGATAGGTCGGCAAAGCATCCCGTTGGCTCAGATCTGGGTTGCCAAGCTACATCCAGTTGTTTCGCTTTACCGCGTTATCTCAGGATCTATCCGTAACTTCTTCAGTTCCCTCAGAACCCTATCACAAATGCGGGGTAGAGACCGACCCTAACGGACGGTCTAACTTGACACAAAGCGGGGGAGGGCATGTGAGTACCGTAGACTAGACTAGAGTATTGTTCCCTGACTATCAAACTCTGATGGCTGATAGATATATTGATACAGAAAGAGTGCACTCCCTTCACGGCTGAGCATACCTTTACCTGCCAAATCCTTCTCTCATCTTCTCAGATCCGATTCGTCCAAGACACAAAGGCCTTGGTGCTTGCGTTTTTTCTCTTCACTATTCGTCGACGTCACTACGCTACAATGCTCATCTCACCACTCCACCAAGATCATCTCGTCCCGGAGACATTAATGGCGGACACAAGCCCCGTCATCCGTCCTGAGACGCCTCCGGACTTGCATATCCCAGATTCGCAGGCCACTGTGAAGGTGTCAATCATTGATACCACTAGTTATATGAGCAACTTTCCCATGTGGGCTTTCCTCGACCCATTGATGCCTGGGCATGAGGAGATGAAAGGTTGCGACTTTTCCTTTATTATTGAACATCCCAAGAGTGGCAACAAGTATGACACTTTGCTCTTTGATCTTGGTGTCCGCAAAGACTGGGAGAATTTACCGACACCATTTGTCCAAGGTATCAAGGCAGGGGGTTGCAAGATTGAGGTGCAAAAAGATGTCGCCACTATTCTGAAGGACAACGGGAGAGACTTGTCCGAGGTGGGAGGTATTATTTGGTCTCACTGGCACTTTGACCATGTTGGCGATGCCCAGACATTCCCAGGCACAACAGATATCATCGTCGGACCCGGGTTCAAGAAGGCCCACGTCCCAGCCTGGCCTACAGATCCTGAGTCTCATATTGACGAAAAGGCATGGCAAGGTCGCACACTGCGCGAAATTGACTTTGCTGCAGAAGAAGGAAAAGGCCTGAAGATCGGCCAATTTGATGCTCTCGACTTCTATGGCGACGGAAGCTTTTACCTCCTAAACACTCCTGGTCACACCATCGGCCATCTTTCCGCCCTTGCTCGAACAACAGTTGATCCCCCAACCTTTATCTTCATGGGGGGAGATATCGCACACCACGGAGGAGAGTTCCGGCCAACACCATACATGCCTCTTCCCGCCGAGATCTCGCCCAACCCATTCAACCGCGTTTTACTACGCCCAGCGCTTACATGCCCTGGAGAGATCTTTGTTGAGATTCATCGCAACAAGAGCCGCACAGAGCCCTTTTTCGACCCGACCACCGCCGAGGGCGCGTGGCATCACTGTGCTCACGAAGCGAAACGCAGCATCGACAAGCTGACCGAGTTCGATGCTTACGAGAATATTTTCCCTGTCATTGCGCATGATAACAGCTTGTATGGCGTTGTCGATGTTTATCCAAAACCAGCAAATGATTGGCTCGCAAAGAGTTGGAAGGACAAGACCAGATGGGGTTGGCTCAATGAGTTCGACCCTAGTATTGCAGGATTGGCCAAGGCTAGTGAACCATGATATTTGAGCGTTTGTTTCTATAGAATTTTGTCGCGCTTTCTTTCGCGGTGCATGATTGTTGGCGGTCGTATTTTCCGAGTCTTGGGGTTACTGAAGAACTACACGTGTTAGCAAGGTCGCTGATTTCGACGGAAATAGTAACGAATAGTATAAGGTTCATCTCTACAGTTAGCTTTGCCGATAAAGTCTCTGAGCCCTCGATATAAGGGATTGTTTCCCATCTCGATATAATGCTTAGGATAACTGCGATCCGTTAGATCCCAGGGACAGCGACTTGGTACAGGGATTACGTACACTATAATTGCTTAGCTACTCAAGTACTCTAGTTCGTTTCCCGGAGCTATCTCCGATCGTTACCGTTATCTCAACAAGCCTACTCTGCCGCTCTTTCTTATCTAATCTTGAAAGCAGCGGATTATTCTTAGTACCGAAGCAACGATATTAAACCGAAGCCTACTCCCCGAGCGTACCGGCTACTCCCCGAGCTCCGTAGTAGCTCGTTATCAATCACATCGATAAGGATTTATACAAATTATACGGATTTATGCATTGCAGCATTTCTTTATCCGAATGCGTATACTCCGTAGCGCAAAACGTATTTTGTGCTTACTGTATCTGATCTTACCCAATATCTCTTTCAGCAAGCTATCCGCCCAACTTCACAGGACAATTCTAGCCATTTACAAGTCCCGGATCTATTTATCTTAGACGACATCTAAGTAAATACCAAATCCATGAGAACTCTGTTGCATCATGTTTATACTAATAAATCTTCGTTATTTCATGTGTTTCAGCTATTTACTGATGGATAGAGTGCTAGCCAACCCAGTCTTACCCAGTTGCCGAATCATTCCCGAGCAAGCCAAAAGTCGAGCCACTCAACGAATCCCTTGAAATGCTGCTCCTTGGCCCACAGCTCGTAAGGGTCCGTCAGACGCGTTCGTGACTGGCCAAGTCTGTTAGCCTACCTCTTGTTACAGCAATCAATGATAATGTTGAACTTACCGCAAAGCCGTGACCGACGTGTGAGAAGACTTGCATGTTGAACCGTTGCTGCTTCTCTGTGCATATCTCGATCACTCTTGTGCGAGCCTCATTTGAGAAGAGCTTGTCAGTGGCCGGAACAGAGAAAGCGACGGGAGCTGTTTGCCGTGCATTAATTAGCCATCAGAATTCTCACAAACCATCATCTTCATCTCGAAATGATCGCATCTTACCCTTTGACTTCTGCACATGACTCTCGTTCACAAAAGATGGGTGGGCAATGGCTCCGGCAGAGCAGATGCCGCCATCAGACAATTGCTGTAACACAATTCGTGCGCCCCAGCTACGTCGAAATGAATCAGCAGGCCTTCATTTAACAACAGTTCAGCAGACTCACCAGTATCCTATGCAGCCAAACTTGACCTTGCCGTCATTGCCGTACTTGGCCTTGATGTTCTTTACCCACTCGCGGGCAATCTCCTCTGAGGGAAGAAGGTGTTTGGCGGACCAAGCCGCCAGGTCAAAGTTTGGGTCGTTCAGCGGTGAAGCGCTATACTTTGTCACCGCATCCTATATTTCAAAGCAAATGTATCAATAGCTTGCCCTTCGATAGAACACTGTGAAGTGCACGTACTCCGAGAAAGTAGTCGACACCGAGTGTAAGATATCCACAAGCAGCGTAGGCATCCATCATCAACTTGCTGTTGATATGCAGCCCGAAAGCATCCGGGAAGAATAACAATACATTCCCGTTGGTGAATTTGGGGTCGGGTTTGGCGACGTATGTATCGACTCCTTCAATCTGGATGATGCTTCCCGTGGGCTCACCTCTGTGAAAGTCACCTTTAAGACAGCACAAGTCAGCTGGCTTGGCCAGCACGGGGTCATTGATGTCTGCCATAATGGGTGCTATTGCTGAGTCGACTCTAGAATTGATCCGGCGTATATTCGAGTTAAGATGTATGACAAGTAGCCTCGGAGCTCCAACTCATAATGTTGGCAGATAAGCTGAGCTCATGTCGGTCTCGGCGGGTATATCGGCTTCTGTCCGGGAGCGGAGCCGATGAAGGGCCGGACGCCAATTCATGGACCGACATTTGCGGCTACGATTTTTAGCCGGAGATAATCAGCAACTAAGCCTATGTTCCTCGGGGAGATGGGAGAGCATGATAAGTAATTCTATGTAAATGGGTCATTCATTCGTCAATATCAGACACCAGCATACCTGTCACATTTCTCACGGTCAGGTTCGTTGCGGACACTTGTCGTTCTACTCTAGTTGGCTATTGGACTCTCAAATAAGTACTGTCTGAGTGCAAGATGCCACGATCGTGGACTGATATTGTCGCTGAGAAGCGCGCAATACGCGATGAGAAACTCACAAAATGCTACGGTGAAAATGTACCCTCTGATCCTCGCATCATGGCTGCCAAAGACATCCAAGCCTTGACAAAGCTACTAGAAGCCCGGAAGGTTACAGCCGAGGCCGTTGTCCTTGCTCACATAGCCAAGTAAGAGCTCCATCGCAAGAAGGACACAGCAAATGTCTTTGCTTAACTAACCCCTGTGCTAGAGCCAAAGAAGCCCATCAGAGAGTACGCCTCATGTCATGAAAGAGCTTGCCGAGAGATATGCTAATAAAGTGGTAGACAAACTGTCTAACAGAAATATGCTTCGATGAGGCTCTGGAGCATGCCAGGGAGCTCGATGCGTTTCAACAGGAACATGGGCGGCTGAAAGGTCCCCTCCATGGTATCCCGGTTTCACTCAAAGACCAATTTAATCTAAAAGGCCTCGATTCAACACTAGGCTACGTTGGCCGCGCTTTCCATCCCGCCGCCTCGGATTGTGTCTTGGTCAAGGTGCTTAAACAGCTTGGCGCTGTCATTTTGGCCAAAACAAATCTGCCGCAGTCTATTCTGGTAAGTAGAAACATCGCGAGCTTAGCCTCATCTAAACAAACTAACTGTAAGCAGTGGGGAGAAACAGATAATCCACTTTGGGGCCTGACCACACACCCAATGAACCCCGAGTATACCCCAGGTGGCTCCTCTGGAGGCGAGGGTACTCTCCTGGCGCTCAATGGCTCAATGCTAGGTTGGGGAACAGATATTGGCGGTTCTATCCGCGTTCCGTCTCACATGAACGGTTTATGGGGCTTTAAACCAAGCGTAGGCAATTCTTGTCTCAGACCAGCAACTACTTGTACAGAAATTGCTAACAGAACTAGAGTGGAAGGTTTTCCTACGAAGCCGTGGCGGTCTCCCAGGATGGACAACAACAGATACCCTCGGTCGTTGGCCCTATGGCAAGAACCCTAAGCACTATTACATTGGCTTCGAAAGCCATGATAGAAGCTGAGTGCTGGAGACTTGATCCTCAGCTGCCTCCTATGCCATGGAGAAATGACGTATTCCAGGAATATCTGCAAAAGCCGTTAGTTATTGGAATTATGGTAGATGACGGAACGGTAAAGGTTCATCCGCCAATCGAAAGGGTGTTTAAAGAATTCTGCAAGAAGTTGGAGGCAGCTGGGCACGAGCTCGTACCCTGGGATACATCTCTCAACGCTGACTGCATCAAAATCATGGTAAGAGCAACTCCCCTTCATGGCCATACTCCTATACACGTACTAATACCTATAGGATGAGCATTACATAGCTGATGGAGGCGAAGATATTCGACGCGATATGGCTGCAGGCGGCGAGCCATATATGCCCCATGTCCAAAACTTGGTGGATCGTGGCTCTGCGATGTCAGTCTACGAATATTGGCAACTAAACAAGAGGAAGAAGGCTACACAAGCAGCCTATAACACGATGTGGAACGCGACAAAGTCGTCGTCTGGAAAACCCGTTGACGTTCTCCTTGTGCCTACTATGCCGCACACTGCAATTCCGCACCGCACACTCCGGTATCCAGGCTACACGAAGCTGTTTAACATGCTCGACTACAGTGCGCTATCTTTCCCAGCAGGTACGGCTTCGAAGGCTCTGGATCCTGTCTGTACTGGGGAATATGAGCCTCGAAATGCTGCTGATGCTTGGAACTGGGGCTTGTACGACATTGAGAAAATGGACGGTTATAGTGTTGGTCTACAGATTGTGGGTCGGCGGATGGAGGAAGAAAAGGTTTTGGGGGCTGCTCATCAGGTCCAACAGCTGTTGTAGATAGATTCTTATAAATATATGCTTAGCACTCTCGATCTATTAAGCTCTATAATTCCAAACTCAGAAGTGCCTTCTGCTCGTCACGATCCTTAAGCAGGGTATCCGACACTGTGCTCCTACTCATGGAGAAGAGGCGGGGAGCATCCGGGTTCGCTCGGGTACTCAAGGACCCTCATACCCACTCAGCTTATCTTATCGTAGCCCAAAGGAACTAGCCCATGGACGGCTTTTGCTTTCTTGAGGTAAGACTTTATGCGCTGCGCAACAATAATCCTACGAGTAAATGCAGAGAGAGATCCACCTCGAGGAACCTGTTCTTTCCCCGTTGGATGTCTGACCTGTCTCCCAATGGTTCGGGTCAAGCTCAACTATAACTCGGACAACCGGGCCCATGCTGTCCGGTCATTCCCCGGCGAGACGAGCATACCATGTCTACCCAAAAGGGAAACGTCGTATCCACGCAGGCACGACACTTTCCTCGAATCGGCTGTAGGAATAGCATTTCTGATTCCCATATTCTGTCTTGTTCGACTCTTGTGCAAAAGCTTGTTGGAAGGGAAAAGCACAATCGCTAGTCTATCTAGGTTGCGAGCTCAATGGCTGGCGGTGACTTGAATCCCCAAGATGCCTGTGGCCATCAAAGCCCATCATCTGTCCACTCAGTTACAACCAGAATATGTGACAACAAGGATACGACGCGCAACGAGATCAGCATTGAAGCCAGTCCTGCAAGCACCGCTGGCGATCCTTTAGAGAAGACATGCGATAAATCGGCCTCTAATACCAACCAGCTTCGCGTCAGTCCATCATGAGATCCGTCTACACTAGCCTGCTCCAATTGTCGATTGTTCCGCGCTCCAGGCGGCGTGGACTTCTTGGCCGTTTCGCCATCATACCCGAAGTCAATAATTCCTATGACTACCGCGCCGCAACTCTACGAAATGGGGCATCACGGCGACCGTCTCGTTGGCGACGGTTGTAGCACCCATGGGGTCGTCTATCTTCTACCGTATGTGCGCACAATTTTGCTCCTGGCCTCTCGACGAGAGCTGTCTCGACGAATAATACCACTGACATGTCTTTCTTGCCAGCGGCTCTCGGTGCCCTAGTTGACGAGCTCAATACCTCCGAGACCATCATTAATATGTCCGTCGCCTTGTATATGCTCTCCATGTCCATCTTCCCGATCTCGTGGTCCGCCTTTTCTGAAGAGTTTGGCCGCCGAAGCATGTACCTTGTCTCCTTTACCCTCTTTATCGTCTTTATCGTCTTTTCCATACTCTGTGCCGTGAGCACCAATGCGCCTATGCCCATTACTTTCCGCCTCCTCGCAGGCGGCGCTTCGGGCAGTGTGCAAGTCATTGGCGCAGGTACAATTGCTGATATTTGGGAGTCGAACAAGCGAGGCCGCGCCATGTCTCTCTTCTATTTGGGACCTATGCTTGGGCCCCTTCTCGGCCCGGTTCTTGGTGGTGTTTTGACGCAGCACTTGGGTTGGCAATCGACCATGTGGTTCCTGGCAATTTAAGGATTTGTCATCATTCTAGGGATCTTTTTCCTGCTTCCAGTCACATTGGCTCGTGAGAATGAGCCTACCGCGACACGAGAGCTCACGCGTTTGTCCACTCGAGAGTCTATCAGGGCCAAAAGTAGCGAGTTTACAAAATCACTCAAGCACTACCTAATCGAGCCTCTGAGCGTCCTCATGCTTTTACGCTTGCCTCCAGTCTTTCTCACAGTATTAATCGCCGCCATCGCATCCTGTTCCGTCTACATCCTCAACATTGCCATCGAATCCGGTTTTGCTGACTCCCCGTACAACTTCAACCAAACAACTGTAGGATTGGCATATATGAGCACCGGGCTAGGGTACATTCTTTCGTCCATGGTCGGTGGCCGCTGGATGGATTCCATCATGTCAAAGGAGGCTCGCAAGGCTGAGAGATATGATTCGCACGGTAAACTTATTTCCTTACCAGAAGATCACATGAAGGAGAATGCTTGGGTAGCCAATAGCTTGTATCCTCTCTCATTACTATGGTTTGGATGGACAATGTACTACGGGGTGCAGTTCATGGTACCTATCAGCGCGCTTTTCGTCTTCGGTTTCTCCTCGATGCTTCACTTTGTAAGTCCAGTCCAGAGATTCTATTCCTCAGTAACGCCCGCAACAAGCCGCCATTGTAGGCTTTATAAATGTTGAAACTAATTTCTTTCACCTAGAACCTCGGTACAACAATGCTCACGGAGTTTGTGCGTAAACGTAGCTCTGCCGGCGTCGCTGTCAACAACTTCGTTCGAAACATCTTGAGCTGCGTCGGCACTATAGTTGCCGCCCCATGGATGAAGGGTGTAGGCGGGGGCTACATGATGACAACATTATGTATTATTTGCTTACTGTTGAGCTCCTTGGGGATTTGGCTCATTACTAGGAATGCGCGAAGATGGAGAGGGACACTGGATAAGGCATTAAAGGAGATGGATTGAGGTAGGAAGAAAATTAATAGATGTAATTCTGTAATGCAATCGACACTTATAAGTGTATACTTTGTGATCATAGATGTTTCTGTTATGTGGACCTTGACATTGTGTTAGGTGCTCTAGAGTTATTTTGTTGCTCTATCCTGCCGACAGTCGTCTACTACTTGACCAGATTCACATCTTTGAGATATTCTCTAAGCCCAGTCATCTGAATCCCCCTCGCCACATTCACTGTCCCCTCCTTATCCCAAGCAACACCCTTACCAACAGCAAAAGTAGCCTTGTATTCCGCCACAGGCTGACCCTCTGCAAGCTGCTTCTTCAGCGTCTCCATATCCCAAAGCTCTCTTCTGAAAGTACCTTCTCCGAACCGCTCGTCTACCAGATCCGCGATCTCCTTGTATGATAGCGTATCGCCGGCAATATGGACGACCTCGTTTGCGATTCCTCGTGGGTCGAAAACTATATCTGCCGTTACTCTGCCGATATCTCGTGGTACAGTGATGGTGATCTTGGTGTCCCAGGTTCCCAGCCCGCGAGTGACTTTCTGCTCGAGATCAATGACCCCAAAGTCCGTTAGGAACAGGAAACTCATGAAAAGTCCTGTCGACACGATGGTCCACTCGGTCTTGTTCTGCGCCCTGAGCTTCTTCCGGATGTTGATCTGCTCGTCAAACCGGTCCTGATCGCTGCCCGTTCCAATGGCGTCGTAGTCCATCCCAAACTGCCACGGGAAGTATCGCTTTACGCCTGCCTCAAACACGGCATCTGCTAGCTTAGTTTGCGTACCAAATGGGCGGCCCATGCCGTTGCAGGAGATGATGGTGTCGTAGTTGCGGAAGATGGCAGCAAGCTCAGAAGTCGAAGACTCGACGTCACCGGGCTGCGGTGTGATACCGAGACCTTGAAGGTGCTCGATCTGCTTTTTCTTTTCTGGAGCTGTTGAATTGATGGACGACGGACGCAATAAGACCGACAGCTTGGCGTTGGCCCTCGAAGGATGCTTTGCCAATGCCTCTAGGATGGCAGTACCTAGCTCGCCAGCTCCCAGCACAAGAATGTTATCACTCATTGTGATGCGGTTGTTTTTCTCAATAAGATTGAATTGACAAGAACTTGATTCGGTTAAGAGGGAGAGGTTATACACCAAGTCGTTTAAGCTCTTCTATACAAGCAATGGATTAGAAATACAACCTCATAATCTAGAGAAAACAAATAATCGGACTCTCGGACTTAGTGGTTGTTAGTCCCCACGCATATATTTATTTTGTGGAGAAGCGCGTCACCATTTTTGCGGTTTCGGGGAACAGTCGGCAAGGTTTAGGATAATAAAAGCTAGTATATAAAAGCTATACCACGCCTCGACTTACTGTAATATCTTAAAAGTATATTGCTTTTAAGTTTTTAAAATAAAAGCAATAAATTAATTTATAATTAATAATTAACTATTATTTATAAGTAAACTTTATTTATTTTTAAAAAAATAAAGTTACTAGCCCTTAGTTTAGTTAGCTATATTAAAAGTATATTATACTA